CCCCCCCCCCCCCCCCCCCCGTTTAGGTTTTGTAAGTGCTTGTGAGAATTGTGTGGAAGGCCTGGTTCAGGGATAGGCAACCTTGGCTCTTTTATGACTCGTGGACTTCAACTCCCAGAATTCCTGAGCCAGCTTGGCTGGCTCAGGAATTCTGGGAGTTGAAGTCCACGAGTCAGAAAAGAGCCAAGGTTGCCTACCCCTGGCCTGGTTTATAAGGGTTTCTGGGAGAGAAGCAGCCTCGGGGGGGTGGGGGTGGGGGGTGGGCGCTGCGATGTTTTCTGTGTTTTGTTTTTTTTAAAGTGTCTCACTGGTGTCATAAAATTGTTCTTCCTATGCAGTTATGTGCAGTTTGCATTGTGGTGTGGCCTCTAAGAATGTGGAATGTGGAAACCAGGAGGCCACAACACAATTTACTTAGGCACCATAAGACCCTGGCAATCTAATGTTTCCCCTGACAACTATACTGTGTGCTGGCTGTACCTTATTCCAATCTTATGGAATATGGTTGGAAACATGCAGAAGAGGTTCTCATCCTGCAGTGGCTACTTCGCAGTGTTTCTCAACCTTGACAATTTTAAGGCATGTGGACTTCAACTCCCAGAATTCCACAGCCAGCATTGCTGGCTGTGGAATTCTGGGAGTTGAAGTCCACATGCCTTAAAATTGTCAAGGTTGAGAAACACTGGGCTAGACAATGGCTAAAATGATGAAGACCTTGGCAATCTAATGTCCCCCCCCCCCACAACTGTTATTGCTGACTGTAGCTTATTCCAACCACTATATTAAACAGTTTTGTTGGTCCCCGATGTTCAGCAGAAAAAGGGTTTTCTTAGGAAATTTGAGAGAGAGCCAAAGTGCGCCAAATTTATTCCATTTCTCCCTTTCTTTAGGGAAATATGATTACCGGTATATGAACAATCTGCTGGGAGAGATCTGTATCGTAGTCTTTGGGAAGGAAATGCATGCTGTGCCATTGGCTGTTTTATCAGCTAATCAATGTCTTCAAAATATTCTCTTTCATAAACCCACCTGACGCCCCACAATATATATTTTGATACACTGATGGCTGCTGCAAGTTAGTGGAGAAATAGCGTTCCAGAAAAAGGGTTATTCACCAGTCAGAATATCTTTGATTTAGAGAAGTATTACAGATTTAGTAAGCTGACTTGCCTGAAGATGTGGCCCTACTGCTGCTATATTATAGGTGAAATTATGCAGTGAAAATTATAGAGCTCTTACAGGTGCTCCTCAACTTACAACCATTTAGTGGCCATTCGAAGTTACGGTGTCACTGAAAAAAGTGACTTACAAATGTGCCTCACACGACTGTCACAACTTCCCCATTGTCATGGGATCAAAATTCAGGGGCTTGTTCAACAGGCATATTTGCAACCTTCCCAGCCGATTTCTGACAAGCAAAGTCAACAGAGGAAGCCAGACTGGCTTAATGACCACATGATTCACTTAACAACTGCAGTGATTCACTACTAAACCATGGCAAGAAAAAAAAAGGTCACAAAATTGGGTCTGATTCACTTAATACCTGCCTTGGTCAGCCACAGAAATCCCAGTCTCAGTTGTGGTCATAAGTTGAGGACTATCTGTATTTATTTGATAGGCTGCCAACTGATAAAAAGTTAAAGAGGATGTATTTAAAAAGGATCTTAAAACCTATCAGTACGAATAACTCCAGAATGTGTTTGTTAGTATTTTCCTTTTTTTTTTGAGTCATTGGTTTTAAGAGTAGCTGTCTATCCAGCATTACAGCTGTAATTCTTGTAGTTAATTATTAAATGAGAGGTTTGTTCCATGGATGGCTTTGTGTTTTCCATTAAAAAGTGTTCCATTAAAGTGTGGTGTATTTAGCTAAACATTAGTTTGAGATAATTTCTGTGTGATAAAACTGTCCTGTCATTTCATATAAAACATGATTTACACTCAACTATCACCACCACCCAAAAAAATTCAAGCACATCACTATAAAACCAGTTTCTATTTGGAATAAAAAAAGTAACAAAAATACTTACAGAACATTCCACACCAAACCAGTAAGATATTATACATGGGACTAAGAAGCAAAGAAACATGTATATAACATAGGCAAAATACATGCCTCATTCTCTTGCATTTCTTATGCTCTAGGCTGGTGCATCACTTTATAGCATATTTTTTTCAATTCTTCCAAAGTTAAAAAATAAGAGGGGGAGGAGCAGAAAGCCTGATAAACTGCAAAAGAGCTCTCTATTGTCCATGGGGAACGTATTGGATATTGCAGAGATAAACTGATATACTACAATGTGGCACCCACTTACTTCCCTTGAAGTAAAATGACACTTCATTACAAGTTAATTAGGTACGGTGTGACTGATCTGCAGTTATTGAATGAAATGCTTCAAAATCTGGATGCCAGATACTGAAATCTTTTAAAGATCTCTCTGGTGGCAAAATAGAGGCAAGATTGCAACACAATAGCTTGTGTGTTATAGACTCCAGACATTTTTTTATTATGTGATTGACTTGTAAACATTTTGTCATATTTCTTTAGGAACTAATTTAAAGCTGGTATTCTGTAGTTATGTTTCCCCTTAAGTTCTGTAGCAGCATACCCTCTGCCTCTTGGGGTTAGCTGGTAATGTCCAAAGTAGAGCAATATATCATCATTGAGAGTTGAGAGTGATGTGTGTCACAAAGAACAAAGTAGGACAGCTTGTTGTATAGAGAAAAATCCCCCAAACTCTGATACAGTATTATACTCTTGGCAATCACTGACTCGCTGGGAAGCAGAATGTTCACTATGTTGACATCCTACTTTCTTGTCAAGCACACTGCATTCCCTGTCAAGCTGTACCAATACATATCTGAACTGATTCTTTCTAGACACTGTGGCTCTTCTGACAGTGATAGTCAACATACAAGGTTTTGCCCTTGTTAATTCTGTACTTGAATATAGTTGTGATTATATTAATTAACTGGTAGTGAATCTGTTAATGTTTGTTCTAATTCTGAACTAGGTGGTTTCACTATAATGATGGCATCTCATTAACATGATCCAACTGAGATTTATCGAATGTAGACTCCACACATATAGGGAAGTAGGTGTACGTGTAATTACGACATGCACCCATGCCAAAGTGCCAGAACTTATGCAAAATGTTGCAGTACACCTACATCCCTATAGATAGGGATTCTCAAAACCCATCTCAAAGAGGAACACTCATGGGATTTTTGTTGTTGTGGATCTTCCAGAAGATCAGTGCTCTTTTATAAACCATGTGTGTGCATATGTACCTATCAATCATAAATAAAGTCTGCTGACAGACTTAAGAAGGGGGGGATAATTAAGTAAGAGGAATGTCTGTTGATGTGCTTGAGAACTAAATCCTGACTTACAGGATGGAAGGATGGATTTATTTATGCATTCATTTATTTAGATAAATTGATTTTAATGTGGGTGAATTGGATCCATATTTGTGTCTCAAAATAAAAAGCATCTGGCTGCACGGTTAAGTACAAAAGGGGCATTGGGTGAATATGTTTGAAAGCTTTTTCCCATTCCACCCTGTACATTCCAACAACCAGTTTGCCAGCTGGCATATTTTTCATTGACAGTGGAGATGAGTGGTAGATGTGGTTTTACTTGGGAAATTTGAAAACTAATCTTTTCCAGTCACACTTAAGGGATACTTCTGGAGTTCGCGAAGGGTGTCCTATTAGACTTCATGGAGAATAATTGATTGCTTTTTTTTTTTATTCTGCTGGCATATGATACAAGATTGAAGAGGAAACAAAACTGAGAAATCCATAAAGCTCTGCCCTGAAACTGTTCTGCATCAAATCTTAAGGATAGTACCAGAGCTATGCAATTTAGGCTGACGTACTTTTCTGCCAGCTGACAGATGGGAGACATGCATGTTAACATAGTTATGAGGATTGTGTGGTATTGTTCCTTGACAAACCTGGCCAGATGTGTTAGTTTAGTTCTGTGACCCTATTCAGAATCTTTAGCAATCTTGGAATCTACCCTGAGGGAACTTGGAAATTGAAGGTAAAAAAGCAATCAGCGAATACTGGAACCCAAGCAAAGCTAAAAAAATAAATAAATCTGTATCACTCAGGTGAGACTTAATTGGTTCAGAAACTATTCTAGAATAGGACCTATACTAGATAGTTTCATCATAGCAATCGCAATAACATTTAGACTTATATACCGCTTCACAGTGCTTTACATCCCTCTCTAAGAAGTTTGCAGAGTCAGCCTATTGCCCCCAACAATCTGGGTTCTCATTTTACCGACCTTAGAAGGGGATGGAAGGCTGAGTCAACCTTGAGCTGGTGAGGATCGAAGTATTGGTAGTCAGCAGAATCAGCCTGCAGTACTGCATTCTAACCACTGCACCATGACAAATCATCATGATCATGATCATCATCATGGTCATCATCATGATCATCATCATGGTCATCATCATGATCATCATCATGGTCATCATCATCATTTCTGAATTATAAACCACCATGGATCCTTTGGAAATAGGATTCATTGTATAGATGACTGAATGCACATACTACTTTGGTACCTGAAGTGAATCCAACACCTGAGGGCAGACAGATCTAAATGCTATTTGTTTGCTCTGTGTCAGCTCCTTATAGTTGCTGATGTGAAATATGAAGAGGACACTTGAATCAGTCCCTGCCACAACATGCCCATTGAATCCTAATTCTTCATGGTTAATCTATATAAATAAAAATGTAAATGTCCTATGGGAGAAGGGCGGTATACAAATTAAAATAATAATAAAAATAATAATAATAATTTGTTCAAAATCTTAAATCTCCGAAAGTTCTTCACCGATTGCTTTGAAATTTTGACACAACGTTGCATTCGAATACGTGCGTGTTTTTATATACCTACTATTATATAGATGTCACACCTGTGACAGGTAAAAACATGCTTTTTATGAAAACAGCGCCATCTGTTGGACGTAAAAGCAACACACGCTATGATTTTACGATTCCGCTTTCTCTTTTCTTTCTTTTCCATTTAACCAGACTGAGCCACAGCAACGCGTGGCCGGGTACAGCTAGTGATAGATAAAAGTATTCGCTTAAATGAGTGGTGTTGGAGTGATTTTTAATTTTTGATATGTTAAGACTAAAAAGAACGTGCATTCTTTGTTAATATTTTTGTTTGTTGAAAGTGGTTGAAAATTTTGCCTTCATTTCTCAGTGGTTTGTCACGAATTTAGCAGTGAAATTTTGTAGAAGAGGGTTCAGGGATTGGTTCCTGTTTGTCCTGAATTTCTTTCTTCTGACTTTAGCATCTTCTGGGTATTTGAATGCTGTTTCTACTGTTCCTATCTTTTAACATGTATATAAATTTGAAAAGGTCAATTGCATATCCAGCATCTGAGTGAGGATCAGTGACAAATCTCTGTAGAACTTTACAAGATAGTTTCAGTGGTGGAGGAGGCTACCTTTTTAAAACTTTCCCCAAGGTGCCATTTGTAAGTGGAGCATGCCTCTAGTTTAGACTATCAAGGTTATGGGTTATGAAGAATTTTGCATGACAGTTACAAACTAAAGGAGTGCTGCTGTCATTACTGGTCTGCAGTTCTGGTTCTTTTACTGCTCCAGGAAGCATTTAGTGCTTGCATGCTTGAAAGGATTTCAGAGCTGTCATTGTGATGAAATTTCTGATCTGCTGATTGATGACATTGTCTACTTGCTAGTTATGATAGCAACAGTCCTCTCTGTAATTGGATCAGCATTGATCTAGCTCTGGCTAGATCTAATGCCATAAATATGGAACATTTCTGCATACAGCTCCATAAACACAGTACTTTATGAACATTTCATGCCTAGCCAAGGGAGGAAGCAACTTTGCTTGCCAGGCATTTTATCTCCTGCAGTCTAACCCTTGTGCTACAATTACTATAAATTGCACTGGTTACTACAGATGACAGTTTTATTATAATTATTTTTAATATAATAATTAAGAGTCAGTATAGCAATGTAGATGGTTAGGGATCCTAGGATCATCTTTTTACTCCATTATGATGCATACTGAATAATTTTGATATTGGCTTTGATACCATATTTTTTGTGTACCATAGATTTATATAGGAAGCACATTGGTTACCACATTGAGTTTAAGTCACTATTAAGTAAGACTTCTGTATATCAGTTAATAAGGGGGAAAAGCCCTTATTGCTTAAGTATTAAAGTCTCTTTCAAGACAAGATTGTTTTCTGATGATTTTGTAGACACAACCTTTGCAATATTTTTGGCAATACTACAGAAGTGGTTTTTGGCTGCCTTCTTAGAGATTATTTCTTTGACTTTGCAAACAAGCTGACAGCTCCAATATTTCTTAGTGATTTCTCATCCAAGTTTTAATCAGATCCTCTTGTATATGTAACCTACAACTACTCCTCCTCCTCCTCCCTCTCCTGCTTAGTTACAGGGTCTACTTATTTGTACTGTGCTTGCCTGGTCCACAATGTGAAGCCTTCAGTATATGCTCCTGAGATTAGGACTGAGAAGTGGCTGGTCCAAGATCACCCAAAAGGCTTCAGTTTGATGTAATAGTTAAGGTATTGGGCTATAGAATATACTGGGAGACCATGTTTTTCTAGGCCTGCCTTATTCACAAAGCCAGTTTGATGATCTTAGGCCAGTAACTCTCCACCTTAAGCAATGGCAAATCACTTTTGAGAAATCTTGCCAAGAAAACTTCTGGGACTTATCCAAGACAGTCACTAGGAATTAACACTGACTTCAAGGCACACATACAAAATAATAGATATTAAGTCAGAGTCACTGAATTATGTTTTCAAAAGTACTTGAGCCTGGGTTAGAATGATTATATTTTGATTTCATTACAACTATTTCTGGTTGGAATCAATGTTATTATATTTCATTGATGTAGCTTAAAAGAAATATTTGTAATTGCTATGGCAAGTCAAAGAGAAGATTTTGCTAAATAATCCTGGTTGGTATTTGTGTTGAAATTGGGCTCTTTATGTTGCTTTGCATGTTTATAGTTTATGTTGCTTTGTATGCTTATGGTAACCAAAGCTTTTGCCTTTTACCAATGCACATCTCACTTATTTTTGCTCTGTTCTTCCTCTCTCTCTTTTTTGTAGCAAATAACTGATGAGGGTAAAAGACCCATCAAAGGTTATCCATGATAAAAATAAGAGACAAAAAAAGGCAAATCAGCATCAGGATGAAGATTCCTCAGATGATATTACAGGTGAAAAAGCTGTATTTGGGGAAAGCTAGAAAGAGAGAAAAGTGTCAGAATAACAATGAGGACACTATAAAAAAAATTAAAAACCCAAGAAAAATTACACTTTGAGAGAAAGGCAGCATAAAATGTATTAGCCTATACAAGAGTTACACTTCAAACTATATTAATTATTACTGATGTTGCTTTATGTGGGATAGATGTTGAATTCTGTGAGGAATCTTAAATCTTAAGATCTTAAACCTTAAACCATAACAATGTGGTTTTTTATGTTGTAATGATAAAAATATATTCTTATTAAATGTTTCCTCCAGAAATCATATACGTCTTAATCATTTGACTCTTTTTACAAAAATGTTCAATGTAGGATTAACATGCCAGCATGTGGGCCAGGCAGTTGACGTCCATCATGTGAAGCGAGCAGTGGCTCAAAATGTTTGGTCAATATGCTCAGAGTGCTTAAAGGAAAGGAGAATATACAATGGTGAACCAGTAATGCCTTCTGATATATGGCTTTGTCTCCGATGTGGCTTTCAGGTAATTAAAATTATAAAGTAATAACTTATACATCATTCCTATGGAATCAATGTAGCATTTGGGGATTATGAGCTTCACAAAAGTGTGTTAAAGAGAGACAGAACAGGGGTTTTAAAACACTCTGTGGAAAAATATATATATTCTTTCACATTATTAGAATCTGAGATCAGCTATGGAATGGATCCTAATGACAAGGAGTTTCTGAACCAGTAAAAAAGACACATTTTTAAAAATATACAATGCATTGTTAAACAATGGAATTCACTACCCCCAGATATGGCAGTTGTACAGTGAGAGAACAGAGTTCTTTGTGGGAATTTTAACATACTTTATAGGCACATTTTTATCAGGATTTTAATTGTTGATACTTTCATGAAGTATTTATTATTTTAATTTTTAGTATCAATTCTGTTTTATGTTGACTTTATTTTATGATAATTGTCCATAAAATAAATATATCATTATACCTCATAGTGACTGTGGTTCACTCATGTGGGTCTTAAAGGGGACTAGACAGAATCTTGACAGATTATTCTGATAATCATGCATTTCCTCCAGAATCAAAGGCAAAATATTTAAATATCAATAGTAAGGGAGCAGAAACAGGGATATTATTCTTCAGTTCATGCTTCTGAGCTCCACAAAAGTATCTGGTTGTCTGTGGCATGATACAGAATGCTAGATTAGATAGGCCTTTGGCCTGCAGTCCTTATCTGATATGAATCACTCTTTGAGAGAGATGCACGGTCTCTTAAATTTGATAATTAAATAAATGTTTGTTATCTAGGTCATAGAACATCTCACTGCTTTTGTGGAGTTCTGCTGAAGTATCAAAAGGCAGGAGTCTGGGAGTAAACCTGTGGAATTTTATCTATTATGGGTGCTGAATGTTTTAGTTTTTATTTAGGAATATGCAGTAGCTTCTTCTTTCATAGACCTTTCGGATCTTACTGCTTTGAGAAAATGCTAATATACTTACAGCTTTGTAGCATAACCAGAAGGAAGTGTAGCTGCTATTATATTTCTTGGGTGGGTGAGAAGAGTCATTTTATCATGAAAAATTATTTCTCTATGATACTGGTTATTTGTTGTGGAAATGGCTGAGTATGAAGGAGACAATATAATGGTTTGCACAATTTGGACATTCAGACAAGCTATGCTTGTTGAAGTATGTTAATGTCCTTAATAATAATAATAATAATAATAATAATAATAATAATAATAATAATAATAAACTGATGGGTCTGTAGCTTGATGTAGAGTATCCAAAGATGCTTTTTCACAAGGCAACTGGACTTCCTTGTTTTTTCTTTGAAGATGTTTCGCTTCTCATCCAAAAAGCTTCTTTAGCTCTGACACTGGATGGTGGGGAATGGAAGGATTTATACTCCTTGCATTCTTTTAGAGCAGGGGTTTTCAAACTTGGCCCGTTTATGACTTGTGGACTTCAACTCCCAGAATTCCTCAGCCAGCGTGCCTGGCTGAGGAATTCTGGGAATTGAAGTCCACAAGTCATAAAAGGGCCAAGTTTGAAGACACCTGTTTTAGAGAGTCGGTAGAGTAAAACATACTTGCTGCTTTCATTATAGAATATAATTATATCTTAAGATTTTATCAATGATCTTTAGGGCTGTGGTCAAAATTCAGAAGATCAGCATTCTCTAAAGCATTTCCAGACTGCACAGGCGGATTCTCATTGTATTGTAATCAATCTTAGCACATGGATCATATGGTAAGTTAATTCACATTTTGAGAGAGAAAGGTTTGTACATGTAAAAGTAAATATACACAGTTGTACATTTAAGTGTATATAGATGAACGTGTACATGAAATGAAATAACATTATTTTAGTTGTTAAGTAGCCTTAAGTGTGTGTTTGTGTGTGTGTATGCCTCACTTATGCAAGTTGTTATTACAAGAATTTTAGTTATGAATAATTAAAGATACAAATTGGCACCCTTTGGTAATTCTGTTTGAAACTGTGCTAGAATTTATATTGTTTTATTTAGTCATTCTCGAGTTGGTTAGACCAAATTCTTGTTTCTTATTCATGGTTTTTTTCAGTAAGTCAGACTAATTTATATACTACTAAAACACTCATGCCTGTAACCTTTAACTGGGTGAAACAGTGCATCATAGGACAATACTTTTTTGAGCCAAAAAACATCAAACAGCTAACTTATAGAATGCATCCAAAATCTGGGGCCCTTGACTCCTATGGGATTGAACTTTGGCAAATTTGTGGTCACTTCAGTGTTAAAGTGCTACTGCACCACTGCCCAGAGGTTTAGTAGATCAATCCTGCCATGGTCTTCTGGAGACTGGGTAGACTGGTTATACCAGGGGTTCCCAACCCCCAGTCCATGGACCAGCACCGGTCCACACAAACAAGCAAAGCCCCATCCGTGGGATGCAGGCAGTACATGAAACCACACCCCTTCCGGTCCGTAGAAAAACCTCTCTCCATGGAACCGGTCCCTGGTGCTCAAAAGATTGGGGACCTCTGGATTATACCATTGGCTGCCAGAGAGCAGTCAGCCATGATCAGACTGGCAGGAAATCGGAAGTTGTTTCTGTTCCCACTACCTTTTTTTTTGACCTTGGTCATTCTATTTCTCTGTTTACATAAAGAAATATCTTTTGAAACAAGGTACACAACAGGTCATGGGGTTGTCTTATAACTTTTTAAAATGTATTTAGTTATTTCAATAGTTGTAAGTAGTTTTTGAAATCTGTTATATTACCTTTAATAGTAACAGTCAATCCATTTATTATTATTATATTATTACATACTTTTTTTGATGTACTCCCCCATGACCATCGCTATTTTCCTGATCTATATTATGAGATCATTGCAGCATGCAAAAGCCAGTTACATGTTGTAGCAGTAGAGAGTGAAGTGGGGAAGAAGTGAATTCCTTCCATTGTCTCTCTGGTCACATATGGTTTCTTCTGAACTAGTCAGTATATTCTTATCAGTGAATGGCATAAGCAATGCATTTGAGATGAGACTGCTGCTTTTTTTAATCTTTAAGGAAAGTGAGCAAAATGGGAACTTTAGTTCTACGTTTCAGATTCCTCTAAAACAACATCTGAATTATATTACGGGAATTGTGACCTATCCAGTGCTCATCATGAGCACTCTAGATTTTAGAATGTCTGCATATGGCTAGTGTCATATGAATGTACTTGAGAGTTATTGTTATTGCATTTAAATGCTTTATTTCAGGTGTTATGAATGTAATGAGGAGCTATCAACACATTGTAACAAAAAGGCTTTGACACAAATTGTTGACTTCCTCCAAAGGCATGTTACAAGAAATGAATCAAGTAAGTTACCTTGAGACTTTTTATGTTAGTTTGATGTTATGTATCTTGTTAGTTACATCAGAAGGATGAAGTAGAATCAAAAACATTGTGTGATGTAATATAGCACGATAAACAAAGTTCAAATAAGTGACTGAACTATCTTTTGGCTAATAAGCAAAGGTCTTCTTTCAAAAAAAAAGTTTGACCATTCACCTCTTGCTAATGATGCAGTGGTTAACTTCTAAAACAAAGGTTCTAGTCTTCAGTGTTTTAGTAGCAACTTGAAATTAGGGGCTTTAAGAAAATCATGATCAGATCCCATATAAATATTCTATGTGATTCAACCCTCAGTTCATGTTTTGTCCTATTTATGCTGTAAGTAAGAATATATATTCCTACTCTCTGTTTCATTTGTTTATTGAACTTGATATTCTGTCTGATTAGCAAACAAATTTCACTGGTTTAAAATAGACTAAAATAATTTTAAAATAAGAGATTAAATACAATTAAAATAGGATTAAAAATAAGTAAAACAAGTAGAATTAATATTTAAAATTTATACTTGAAATCAGCAATTAAATGTTCTAAAAATATGGTGTAAGGGTCTTGCCTAATAAAATGTTTATTCCAAAGAGCTAGAGAGGCAACAGAAAGGATTTGATCCTGAATTGCTGCCAAAGAAACTTGGGACAAGTGTAGGCAAACTCCTTGGATGTATTCAGTAAGCATGGAAGTTCATATAACATTCTTTCAAATTAAGCTGAGTAAGGCTTTAAATATAACAAACACCGCTTAATATTTGTTTGCACTGGAATTAATTGGCAGATTTTATCCAAGATGGGATTAGTATTTATGTATTGAATTTGGGTGGGATTTATACTTCCCCTCCTTCTTACTTTTGAGGTGGAAAACTTGAGAAATAACTGGATTGGGCATTTGGAATTCCCAACCATTAGAATAGGGCAAAGATAGACAAGAATTCTGGGTGAGTCTGTGGCCAGGTCATCTGTCCACTAAGCCAGAGTGACAACTTCTTAAAGTTTGGTTTCAACTCACTTCCTCAGCCAACTGGAGGACTGTACTAGAAGAGTGGTGACATCACAATAAATGAATAAATGAATGATCGAATGAATGAATGAATGAATATGGTAGTCAAAATCAGAGGAGTATTTTTGTTGAACTTCTCTTTGTAAATGAGAGGAAGGGATATCTTGATGGAAGATGGAAAAGGCAGAGGGAAAAAAACTAGATTTTTCCAGATTTATGTTATACTTGGGATATTTGCTAGTACTGCAGTAGCACATTGCTTAGAAATCCCACGTTATGATTTCCTGAACATGATATTAACCCATGGCAGAAAATGAATTAAAAAGTGTTTTCTAGAATGCAGCTGTTATGCCAAATAAAAGGTAATAATGTATTTTGCAGAGACTTAGATATATCAATACTGATTCTGCCATGCAGTGTTATGCAGGAATGAGAAGCCCCAGACTATCTGGGAAATAATATCTATCTTAATATGTTATTTTTGTATGTAAGGTTTCATGTACTCTATACTTGAGGAATCAAGGATTGTACTTCTGACAAAATACTCTAGGGTTGGATAAGTGACAATATTAATATAATAGAAAATCCATTTGGCAATTGGTTAGACATTTTTTCATAAAATATTGAATTCAGTAAAAAATACCTAAGGGTAGATGAATGGATGCTGGTTTTTTATTTGGGTTGACTAGATGGAACCTGATTTGTGGGGTGTTTAAACTGTTTAAACCCAGATACTGATAAAAAAAATCCTGCTAGACTGGATAACTTATCAAGCACAAACAAACACAATCTTATATACTTGTTTCATCAGAAAGAAATTCCAACTACTTTACTTTTTAATGAATATCCATAAGATTGTAGCTTTTCCAAGGAATTTTCTACATGTCTGCTTGAAGTAAATCACATTGAATCAAACAGAATTGACTTTAATAGGCTTCATGTTTGTTGATCAGTTATATGCATATTACATAATGATGCTGAAATAAATTAGTGTATAAATGATTGCTTTGTAATAGGAATACCTCTTTTCTTTGTCTTAAGCCTCTTTAAATATACAATGGCAAAAAGACAGGATATAAATATATTTCATACATACATACCACACATAACTATTTATTCTACTTTATGTATTGTCTTGGAGATGTTTACTCTCATGAGTGAGTGCAGAAAATGAATTTTCCCTATCTGTGCATGTTATAAGAAATTTTTATACTTTTTAAAAAATGACAGTTTTAAAAGTGCCCAGATGATCTTTTTTAAAATAATACTAAAATGCAATTGATTGTCTCACTATTTGCCTTTTTTTTTGTTAAATATACATTTAAATGGAACCTTTCTTTTTTCTGTTGAAATGATTCGTTAGATTGATTTTTTTTAAAGAAGCTTCTTTATTGCATATAATAAAGAAGTTAAATATAGCATTATTGAGCACAATCCAAAGAGAGAACAGAAAGAGCACTGAGCATGACCAGTAATTCAAACAGTACTTTTATGGCAATTTTTAATTGCAAATGATTTGTTCTTTTCTTTTATATCCAGTGGAACATGCAAACTGCCAGTAGCTGTTTTCCTTTAACTGAATAAGATATTTTAGGGCACCATGTACAGGCAGTTCCTTAAAATAAGTGAAGAAACAATCAATGCTTGTTTTATAACAATATGCATTTGAGACAAACTAAATAATCAGAGCTTAGCTTGCTTGTCCAGCTTCAGACTAATCAGCTTGAAGAAAAGACACCCGGATTATGGAAAAAGCAGCACAGATTTTCTGAGAAATATATTTTGAGAAATAAACAGAAGCAAAATATTTGCAGTTGCCAAGAGCATGCATGGGACCCAGATCTCTGCTTTTTCCCCCCACTCACACTCAACTTGCTTGCAAAAATGGGCAAATGACATTATTACTCCATGACTGACCAGGAAATTAAATTAAGTCATTGAGATAAGCTCAAGTGTGGAGTTCTCCCCCCCACAAATGCTGGCAGTATGTGGACTTCCCATCGGATCTTATGATTTATCCTGCCCAGAAAGTCTGCATTGTCTCTTTTTTCTCTTCTTCCTTTTCTTTCTTTCTTTCTTTTTTTTTCTGAAAGTCATCTGTTTGGTCAATAAGTCAGGTTTGCCACAGCGTAGAAGAATAAAGCAAGTGTTTTGTAAAGAGTAACCACCCAGCAGAGGCTAGTTTTTTGCAAAAAAAAGGGAGCTGGCCCATTATACAGCATTTGCCAGGAAAGCAGGTGCAATATTGTCATGATGGCACACTTGTGAGTTTCACATGAACCTAGTGCACATGTAGTACACAGGAACCATGCTGAGCTGTTACAGTTTTGATTGTCTGTTGCCTGGGAAAGAAGATTAGAAATGAAGGTTTGTTTGATCCCTTGAAACAAACTATCTCCCCTCCCCTCCATTCCTGCCCCCAGTGCATTTTTCAGTTAATGGGAATAGGGGGAAAAAAGTTAATTACCATTCAAAAATAATTTCTAATTGCTCTGAGATTTACACAATCCTGTATTCTAATTTTCAATACCAATGGATTGCTACCACAGCTGTATTTTATTTTATTATTTAATTTAATTTTATTTCTAATTCAATAAGTGCCTCCTTGCCGGGCTCTACGTTTGTTTTCTTTAAAAAAAAAAAAAGGAAAAAAGATGTTGCACTATATCTCTGATACCCATAACTACTAAGATCTTTGTAGGAATACCAATTAAATCTGTAAATTAAAAGAAATTAAAAGAAAAACATTTTGAAATTTTGGAATATTTTGCAAAATGTTTTTTATCACGCTCTGAAGAACTATATAATTGCTTTGCCTGATTTTTAAAAATTATAAATTAAAATACTTTACAAAACTTCACAAAATTTTACAAAATATTCTAGAAAATTAAAAAGCAAAATAAAAAAGTAAAACCATTACATTCCAGCAATTATTATAATTTGTTAGGAATTATGGAACAAATTTGGCAGGGGATGTGTTTTTTGTGGTAATTAAATGTTAAAAAGAAGACAATGTCATCTCATCTGTTACTTTTTTCTTATGATGAGATTAAAATTAAAGATTAATAATTTCAGTAAAGGTTCTCAAACTTGAAATACCCTCAAGTGTAATAGGCCCCCAGAAGATTTTACAATAGTTTTAGAATGGGATTAAAGTACACCAGGTTAAAACATACTGTTAACTTTTAGGATTAATTGCTCCATGATATTTTATCCAAATTTCTTCCAGCCAAATCATTACAGGTGATTCTTTCTTTCATACTTTCTACTCATCCCACAGATCTACCCCATAGTGCTGAGGAATTATCTGAAGCAGTTTTGTGGGTACATTAATGACTATAAGAAGAGAAGTTCAGGAAAACTCCCATTGTACAAGCTGGTTTTATAACCCACAATAAACTTATCTTCCTAGTGAAGTTGCATGTACTGTCCAAGAAATTCAAGGGTAAATCTGATTTAGAGGCAATATGTGGTGAACTGTGCAGGGATTATGTTCTTTAAGTGTTCCTAAAAACAGAGCATCATGTTAATTAACATTTGTATGGTTTTGTTAGATTAGTGTAGCTATTACCATTGAAATCTTTCCCAGATCTCCAACCCATTGAGAGCCATTTTAAGTGTACCCATTTGGAGTTTGCCTATAACAGCCATTAGTTCATTTTTGCACCCCCAACATCCTAATTGCTGAACATGGAAAGAGTGTTGGTTCACACTGGCATCCAAACAAGAATGTAACTATTTAAATGTAGAGGAAGTTGTATTACATAAGGATATTTACAGTGGTTTTCATTTTTGTCCTAGAAAACATACAATCTTGCCTGGATGGGAATTATTTCATTCAGTGCCACCACTGGACTCAATCTTACAGTTCTTTTTTTCTCTCCTCCTCCTCCTTTTTATTGTTTTATGATGATTTCAAGTTAATACTGATTTATTAATACTGTTCATTATTACTTTTGTTAATTGGATTTGCACATTATTATTTTTAAAGATCTTAGCAATGCAAATCTAATGCTGCAAGTTGTACATTTTTTATAACAGACAAGATTGGTATAGTTGCAACTGAAATATTCAGAGGATAAAAAATACTGACTTTTTAATATTTAAAGATGGAAAGTATACAATAATTAAATAAACATAGTGAACAATTGCTTTTTTACTTTTGTGCCATCTGTGTGTCCAGTTAAATGTCTGTTTCAATGAGATGAAAAAGAAATAAGAGTATAATCAGAGACATTGCTGTTAGTGGTATGATAGTAAAAGGAATTAGTGCAGGCTCTTTAAGGATAAATGGTTAAATACACACTAAACTCACAATAAAAGAAGACTATAAAAAAAGATATTTGAGAAGTTAAATGAATATTGTAAATCTGTGCAATTTCATTTTAGACTGAGGAAACTCCAATTAATGCTGTGAGACTTATTTTGAAGTAGCATACAATTGCCCTTTTTTCAGTGCAAGTGAATGGACCATATGATTTTATGAACACTTATTTAAAAGTGTTTTTGGCTTTTACATTGTTTTAAATCATAAATATTTTTGATTTTAGATCAACATATTGTGAATCTGACTGTTGTGATTTATAAACAATGATTTATGGCTCAGAAGATATGAAACCAGCCAACTGAGGTTTATTCAATAACCCATGACTATACAAACCACATATTTAGTACAAGTCATAGACTTCAGTAGGACTTACTACCAAATGCTTAGTTGATTTCCATATACCTGAACTAATTTCATTAAGAAATAGAACACACTATCGGCACACCTTTTCCCTGGAAACTATGTTTGGGATTAGGCTTGAGGTAATATATTGAAAGTTTTATTTTATTTATTAAATTTCTACGCTGCCCATCTCACTGATATAGCGACTGTGGTCCAGATATGGAAAGACAGTATTTTATTAATGTTAGTCTCTTTGTTGCTGTTAAAATAATGTACTTTTAAGATGTGTAATTATGGTTTCTTACATTTATAATTATGTGAGCGCTCAGGTCTTGTAATATTGTTTGTTTGCTTTTTGAGTTTTACAGGGAGGCAGTTTCAGGGGTCATTATATTTTATTTTTTCCCCTGGATGATTCAGATTGGAGATTCAGTAGACAGAACCTTGTTACTTGTGTGAAGCTGTCATTTAACCATGAAATGAAATGCTTTTATTAAGTTTGCCCTGCAGATATGGTCCGCTGTGGCAGGGCTGCCCATATTTGGTGGCTGTGCAAGGAGAGCCAGGTGGTGCTGCAAAGCATCGCACAGTGAAGCGTGGACAGATCTAGATCTGACATTTGTCATCCTGCAGTGCTGAAGGGGAGTTAAAATCTGTTTTTCCATATGCTTCTGTTTTAATTTTTGCCTGCAGTTTGGTCCAGATGGCCTACTGAGCATTGTTTACTTTAAGATGTTTTCCCAGATGTTACTGAATGCCGATGGATAAATGCAACAACTGTGGTATACCAATATACAAATTGAGTATACAGTTTAGGCTTTTGTCAAAAATCCAAATATATTATATATATTTTAAATAAAAATATCTGTTTCTTGGTTTGTTTGTTTTTAAGATGTGAGTCATGTTGAAATAATAGATGGATGTCAGACTTGGTCCAGCAAAACAAAAGTTTAAATTAGCCACAAAAGTCTTAACTCTTATACTACCTTTTATATTATCTGTATCATATGGGATTGTTAAAGACTATAAAATGAATGAGAATAGGAAAGAAATGCAAAGCAAGGGTGCTTGCTTGAGTTTTTAATAAAGGTGAAAGAGAACTATAATTAATTTTCAAAGCATCAATTCTCTCTTTCTTGCTTTAACTAAAATATTAAATCCAAAATTATGCAAGTGGATTTAAAGTTGCACGATAGGAATTACCTTTCAAATCTTCCTTTTTGCATGATTCCAAATATGCTCTTTTTAATCTCTCATCACACTGAAGCAAATTTGCAGGAAGAATCTAGGAACTTTCAGGGGCGTATTTTAGTTTTTCCCCCTTGAGACATGTTGCAGACTTACATTCTGAGCAGGATTTTGAGTAGGCACCATGAGAAATACATACTTTAGATTGCTGATCTTCTTGCTGACTGTTCTTTAGGGTGTGGTCCACAAGGAATGTGCTGCTATTGTATAAAGATAATTTTGGCATGGGGGAAAATGTAGCCACTGCCTTTGACAGTATTTGCCTATGAGTAGCAGGCACAATGGCCTAGAGGTGAAGATGCACATCTCACAGTTGAGAAGTTGAGAGTTCAGTCCTAGGCAGCGACAGATGTTTGTCTATCAGGGCGCAAAGAAAAAATATCTGCTGCTTACTCCACATAGGTGTCAGTAATGGCATCCTGCATCCATTAAGCCCATTACTAGTTGCTATCGGCATGAATTGTTGGAAAGTACTTGAAATATTATATATGTCAGTAATTTTCATATTTAGTTCAGGACCCATGACAATATGAAAGTTGCAAGTTGAAATCTAGGCTGAATAACATATGTCAAGATTTCTCATTACCCTCTGTGTTACTCATTAAGAACATTCTTATTTCATTGCAGATAGCAAGCATCTAGATCAGTGGTTCTCAACCTGTGGGTCGGAACCCCATTTGGGGTCGATCGACCATTTCACGGGGGTCGCCAAGCAAGGCTATCTGCCATTTTTTTTGTCCGCCATTTTTTTCCCCCTTTTCCGGCGGGTGCCTTACCTCCCTTGGGCTGGGCCAGCTGGTGGTCGGCCTGCTCCGTCTCTGCCACTTGCCAGCTACGCCTCGGCCGGCGAAGGGGGAGGAACCACGCATGCGTGGCGCTCCCGGGCAGGGAAAGTCCTCAACTTACGACCGGTTGGGTAGTCCTCGACTTACGACCGGTTTAGTCCTTGACTTACGACCGGTTTAGTCCTCAACTTACGACCGGTTTAGTCCTCGACTTACGACCGGTTGGGGTCGCGGCATTAAAAAGGTTGAGAACCACTGATCTAGATTAAGGATTCACAGAATTATGTCATGGGAACAATATGGTATCTAGCCAATTACTTAAAGTAATTAATTGTTGTTCACTTAGACAAAATATGAAGCTGCAGTGTTATTTATTTACTTACCTTGGAGTAAGTTTGACTTAACGATTTCAACTAGGGTCCTTAAGCTTCTACTTCATAATTCTCATTTCCAGTTAATGCTGAAATGCTGTTTTCATAAAATAATTGTTTAGAACCTGGAATATACTTTAGAATGGTACAAATTTCATGCAAAGCTATGTGGATTACTATATGTATCTCCTGTTATATTGTGTAACAGATCAATAGCAGGAAGATGAATCTTTTGGATATGTTAAGAAATATTTAAAAGTTGGATCCCAGCTAATTACTTGAATGTAGTTCCATTGAAAGCAATAGTGTTTCAGGTATTTATTAACTCTTCCCATTCATTCCGATGGGAATTGAGAACAATGACCTTGGTCTGAAACCAATCCAGAGTATTCAGAATATCTTGGAAAGTAAAACTATTTTCTGAAGACTGTATTGATTTCTTAAACCAACCAATAAAGCCCTTGTAGAATTAAAGAAATTGCCAACTGGATTTGGGATTTTTAGTCTTTAAAAAAAAAAAAAACGAAAATTGTGCAAAATTATGGTAGATGAACTTGCCAGGTAATAGTTTTTGATCAGAAGTTATATTTGGAGGCAGGGTATTAGATACTAATTGTTTTTATGTGCCTTAGAAACTAGAGCCTTATACAAAGAACATGATGTAATAGACTCAATTAAAAAGTACAAAATTATTCTGTACCTCATTGTGTGGCAGATTTCTCCTTTTTTCAAGAACTGCAGACTCAAAACCTGCTTGTACTGAGGAATTCTGAAATCTAGGATAGCACAAGGAATTGAAAAATATATGGTTCGAATGAACTTCACATACTCCAGCATTTTATATATCTTAGACCTGAAACCAGAGGGCCAAAGACTATTCAAGATGCTAGTATTAGCCCAGACATGTCAAACTCACGACGTCACGTGATGTCGTGCAACGTATTGGGACAGTTTTGCCATTGCCGGCAATGGGGGTGGGGGTGGCTTCCACGTGACGTGTCTGGCCTGCGGGCTGGCAGTTTGACACCCCTGTATTAGCCCCAAAAGTCTTGTTTTCTTGTTGATCCATCCCATTTTACCAACTATTTATGAATGTGGATCTTAGCTTTGCTGTTGAAGAAAAACTGTATGCCATTCTCTTGATGTTTGATTTGATTTGATTATGCATATCATTTTTATATTACAGGTGAGCATAAACATGATCTATACAGCATAGGTAGAAACTGCAGTGTTTTCCAAACTTAGGAAGAGTTGCCATTCAGAGCCTGAGAACTGATTGACTTTAGTTAGTAGCTGTTTGCAAACTCATTGAATGAATTTCTTAAGAATGTAGTAGTATTCCAAACTGGACTATTATGTTGACTTTGATATTTTGTTTTGTTTTTTAAAGGTCAGCATGCAGTACCTTGTGTACAAGACCTGATTCTTATCTTTTCTCGTTAAAGGTTCATCATCAAAAATTATATGGCTGCATGAAGAAAGCAATGAAGCCAATGACATCTTAAGAGGAAAAGGCCTCAGTTCCAGCTGGGCATCTGTTCCTGTTAAAGGCATTAATAACTTAGGGAACACGTGTTTCTTTAATGCTGTTATGCAGGTAAAACTAAAGAGGATTCTCCCTGCTCAGGAATCTATAACAATCACACAACAAAGAAGTAAGGGTGACTGTGGCAATAAGCCAGGCATGTCAAATTGCCGGCCCGTGGGCCAGATGCATCATACTGAAACCATGTCCACCCCATTGCCGACAATGATGAAAAAGTCACGATACATTGCATGACATCACGTGATGTCTCAAGTTTGACATGCCTGCAATAAGCAGATCAAATAATGATATGTTATATGGGTAATTCATTCCCTTTTCAACACAAGTTGTGTAAAATTGTATAACCTGGATATCTAGTTTACATCCAATATTGCTCTCGCATTTTCAAGAAATATCTAAAATTTAAATGTCTTGTATTGATAGAAATGCCTAGCATTTCTTGTATAAACTAATCCAAAAAGGAAATTTTCAAGCAGAAACCAGAGACTTTCAGTTACTTGTCATTTTCTTGGTCTTGAGAGTTCCCTTTAAAAGATATGTAGTATGAGATGCAGGCAGTTTACACATTGGTTGAAATATCAAAAGTCTTGCTCAATAGATACAAGTGCCATAATCCAGTCAAGCAACTGCCATGGGAGACCAGTTACAGGTAGTCCTCGGCTTAAGACCACAATTGAGCCCCAAATTTTTGTTGCTATCGAGACATTTGTTAAGTGAATCTTGTCCCATTTTATGACTTTTCCTGCCATGGTGGTTAAGTAAATCACTGCAGTGGTTAAATTAGTGACAAGGTTATTAAGTGAATCTGGTTTCCCCATTGACTTTGTTTGCCAGGAGGTCACAAAAGGGGATCACATGACCCCGGGACACTGCAGCTGTCATAAGTATGAGTCAGTTGCCAAGCATATAAATGTTGATCACATGACCTTAGGGATGCTGCAACGATCGTAAGTGTGAAATACAATCACAACTCACTTTTTTCAGTGCCATTGTAACTCTGAACGGTCACTAAATGAAATGTTGTAAGTCGAGGACTACCTGCATGAATTCTGCAGCTTGAAACAGCTCAATAAAAAAATAATCACTGTTATTAGTCCAGTTGCTCATTCTCTATACCGTTTTCCCCCCATTTTGTTTTAGAACTTGGCACAGACACACATGTTAAGTGAGCTAATGTGCGAAATGAAAGAAAAGGGGACAAAGCTAAAAATAGCTCAGAGCCCAGCGTCTCAACTGGTAAGCATTCTCTTGAACCAATCTCTGAGCATTACATTAAGTGGACACTAAGAATCGTAACGAGGAGCACTTATAACAGTGATGGCGAACCTTTTAGAGACTGAGTGCCCAAATTGCAACCCAAAACCCATTTATGCATCGTCGAGTGCCGGGTGGGTGTGGCCCATTGGATGGGGGTGACCCGTTGTGTGGGCGTGGCTGCAGTGGTAACAGCAGACTGAGTGGGACTAAAAAGTTCAATCAATTCCAACTTTGCAAGATCTTTTTTTTCCCCGTGAGAAGTTGAAATTGACTGAATCTTTTTTTTTTTTGGCACATGGTGGAGGCCTAAAGCAAAAAAGTTTTATAAAACCCAGCTGAAGGCCTAGGACTGGGGCGACGGCATGCGTGCCCACAGAGAGGGCTCTGAGTGCCACCTCTGGCACCCGTGCCATAGGTTCGCCACCACTGACTTATAATGTGATAGTTTTTCTAGTGCACAATGAGTCGTCCCATTTTGTAGTTGGCACTAGAGCAGCGGTTCTCAACCTATGGGTCGCGACCCCATTTGGGGTCGATCGACCATTTCACGGGGGTCGCCAAGCAAGGCTGTCCGCCATTTTTCCCCCTTTTCCGGCGGGTGCCTTACCTCCCTTGGGCTGGGCCAGCTGGTGGTCGGCCTGCTCCGTCTCTGCCGCTTGCCAGCTACGCCTCGGCTGGCGCAGGGGGCGGAACCACGCATGTGCGGCGCTCCCGGGCAGGGAAAGTCCTCGACTTACAACCGGTTGGGTAGTCCTCGACTTACGACCGGTTTAGTCCTTGACTTACGACCGGTTTAGTCCTTGACTTACGACCGGTTTAGTCCTCGACTTATGACCAGTTTAGTCCTCGACTTACGACCGGTTGGGGGTCACGGCATTAAAAAGGTTGAGAACCACTGCACTAGAGTTTGAATCAGCAGAATCAAGGAGTAACATTTCTAGCTGGGGAAAGCTTGTTTTTCCCATTTCCCCCTTTGGTTTGTGGGTTTGGAAGAATCATCTGGAAAGGTGTGGCACCAGAGGATTCAGGAGGAATGTGGATGACAAAAATGATTTCCTTCCTTTCCTCCCTCCAAGCAGGAGCGTAGTGCATCACCATCTGTTCCGCAGATAGTCTTCTTTAAACAGAGGATGGCACAGAAGAGATCCTTATTCTGATTTATCTGGTTGCACTAAATCACTGCTCAAACCTTGTGGTTGCTATTTGGACACTTTGCTGAACGAAGCCTGGTTCACGTTCTCTTTTTTTCTAATGAAGATGTCAACCTTTCAATTTCACTAATGCCATTAGTTTGTGAGTCCATATACTGTAGCTGGAGTGGATACCAGATGTTTTTAGAAAGTAAAGACTTAAAAAATTAAACTGAAAAACCCTTATGGCTCTTGCATATGGCTAAATATCTATTTATTTATCTCATCTAGAAAAAAAACTAGATATAATTAGGTAAAATATGCAAAAACGTATTTCTTCATTGGATTCGTATTTTGTTTTTGTTTTAGATTTGTATTTAGATTTGTATTAGATTTGTATTTTGTCCTTTATATTATGAGTTACTCTGCATTGATAAGTGTTGCTTGGCCCACACATTCTCTATACCAAACTTGTTGCTCATTACAACAACAACAACAACAGCAACAACAAAATCAGCCCATTTTAAAGTAGAAATCATAGGTTTAATCAAAAGAAGTTCTGGAGAAGATACTTCTTCCATTTCAAGTTTGCGAAACCCTTTAGAATAGATCTGGAAAACATGGCGGAAGGGGCAGGCTGGAGGAGAGCTAGCAGGACTCCAACTATCTGAACAGAAGTCTTTCATATAATATTGAATGAAATGTTAGTTTGAACATACATGCTGGGAGTTACTATTGTGTATTAAAATATTTATTTTTAACCCAAAGGATCCATTGGTAGTGAATCTTTCAAATCCTGGATCTCTGACTTCAGCCATGCTCCTGTTCCTTCATAGCATGAGAGATGCTGGGAAAGGTCCTCTTTCTCCTAAAATGTTATTCAACCAGCTCTGCCAGAAGTAAGGATAATCTTGTGTCAGTAATAGCTTTCATATGGAAAATACGTACATATATAAATTTAAAGTGATTTATTTCATGTTGTCTTATCGTATTTCAGTCAACAGAAATGCATTGTGCTGTTCAAAATTAAAACCGCAAGCATTTGCATTTTGGTATGAATATCCCTTCCTGGATATTAATAACGTACACAGTAAGTCTTCAAGAAAAAAGAAAGAAATTGATCATTTCTTTTTCCATAGCAACTGTTTAGTGTTTGGTACTAATTCATCCACTGTTAATTTTGTTAGTGTTGCAGCTGTCGGACATTTTGCTAAGACAGATTGTGTGCATAACTACAGGCTGCCTTCTGTTTGTTTCCACTATTCTGAATATTAGGGATGCAGACTTTTGACTTATCTAGAGACTTAGTGGCTCATCGAACATTTATATACTTTTAAATAAAGTATTCTTTTATTTTTCTGTGGCTGACCGAAATCATGAACTTGGGTAGTATGGTGGTAACACTACCCATTTATATAGATTTCTAAATTATGTGAAACGTTCACAGAAATAGTATTGGTTACTTTTTCCATCATTGTTATAATTTTACTGCTTTAATATTGCTAAGTAAGCATTTCCTTAGTAAATGAATAATCATTAGGTCATTATTGAATGATTATTCCGGTATTAAAATATGTTATTTATTTTTAACCCAAAGGATCCAGTGGTAGTCCTGGATCTGTGACTTCTTTCTCCATTAACCTGGAACATAAAATTGACAGTATAGTAGTTCCAATAAGAGAGAATAGACCAAGTAGAACTTTTCCAATACTATTCTTTCTAGATCATTAGAGAGGGAGGATAAAAAGCATTATGATAGGTCAACACTAATTCTCAATACTGTATCGTCAGCCTTGGCACCATCCAGATGTGTGGATTTCAGCTCCAAGATTTTCCCAACCACAACTATTGCTATGAATTCTGGGAGTTGAAGTGCTCATATTTAGAAGCAACTACTTAGGAAAGACTCCACCAAATGATTTGAAGCCCATGTTTTTGCCCAGGAGAGACATTTATCTCTCCTGAGATAAGGCTAAGAGAGATTTGGCTTTCCATCCTTCCGAGGTCAGTAAAATGAGAACCTAGATTGTTAGGGGCAATATGCTGACATTTGTAAATCACTCAGAGGGTGCTGTAAAGCACTATGGAGCTATATATAAGCCTAAGTGCTGTGGCTATCTCAGTTCCATCATTATCAAAAACACGTTTAGCAATCTTGATCATTACTTTTAGATTTGTAATTCCATGCCAGTCAAAGTCCACTTAGGACCTCCTTTGATATCTTTCCACTGGCAAACACAAAATGATCTTACTAAGATGTCATATCAATTGCTGAAATGGAACCGCTCAGCTCAGATCCTGCTTATGTGAAAAACTGAAATGCAGCTATTTTCAAATTATGTTTTCTGGATTGTACAGAGTTGAATAAATACCCCCTAAAAGCAGCTTTTCTGAAAGTAACATTTTTTTCCCAAGCAGATATGTTCTAAAGCACATAGGCCAGGCCTTTTCAATATTCCACTAAAACTATGTATATACCATGGAATATGAGATTGTCCATTAATGATAGATTAATCAATTCAGCCTCTGACTGAGAAATTAATAGGATTATTTTTTTTATTATTGAAACTGGGGTCTGAGTTACAGCTGTAAATTTTAGGCTAGAGTAGATGATGATGTGTTACCATAAAATCAAAAGTTTAAACGGGATTTATTTTCAGAAATGAGTGATAATCTAATAAAGAAATACCTGATTCTTTTCGGTGTCCCACAATGTCATTTTATACTGAGTTTTGCTTTGTATTTTATTTATCTCTTAGCCATACTAGAAAATGTAGATCTTAGTCTTTGTAGGGGAACAAGTAGAAATGATTTTTTTTGCATTTAATTTTATTTATAGTTCATTTTCACACAGCATATACTGCATATTTTAAAAAGGAAATTGAATCGTGGCATAATTACACAACAGACAGATTATCTACTAACCTACTTGATTTAAAATGAGTAGACATTTCTCTATCAATAAACAACAGAATGATAGTATTCAGGTAATTATATTTTTCATGAAGTTGAGTATTAAGATGATAAACATGAATAAGTGTGGCATAGCTGTCCTAATCATCCTTCACTGCTTATGGCCATTAGCAGTAATTCAACCTGTTCAGTCATTTATTCTCTAATGCCATACAACAGGTTGTAGCATGTTGGCACTGGCTTCCATATGTCAAGTCGTCTGGGAGTGGTCAGTTCAATCAACCATTCCAGAGTCCTCCATTTTTGCCAGGGATTTTGCTGGAAGCATATTTTCAAGGGGAGAGGAATGCACATCTTTTAATTGTCAAATCCAAACATATCAATGTGGACTACAGCTTCTGTTCTCCTGCTCCGCATGTTTCCTAACTTATTTTAGTTTTTTCCCCAAGGTTTTTTTTAAAATCCTTTTCATTTTACCTAAAACTTAATTTAAATTTTACTGGAGATTATGATAGTAATGGTAATAACATACAATAACAGATATCTGTCATGTAACACTCCAGACTTAACAATTGTTGATAATAAAGACAAAAAAGTCTGGATAGTGGAGGTTGCAGTACTGGGGACAGTAGAATAGGAGAGAAAGAACTGGAGAAAAAAATCACAAAATACAAAGACCTTCAAATAGAAGTAGGATGATGGTGGCAAAAGAAAGCAAAAGTAATATAATAGGCACCTTGAGTGTAACCGCAAAACAACTGGAGCACCACTTGAACACCATTGGCATTCATAAATCATCATCAATCAAGAGTCCTGAGAATATTGTAGACAGCCAAGAAAATAAAGAAATGGATCATTGAACAAACTAACTCAAGGGTTCATACTTGAGACATAAATGACTAGGCTCAAAATCCTACTTTGGAAGACTTAGCTCCCAGGCTGTAATACTGGGAAAGATGGATGGAAAAAAGAGAGAAAAGGATGACCTGCAGCAGGGTAGATGGACTTAGTGTGGTGATCTTGGAAGATCTGAAATAGATCTTAGAAATAGATTGTTGTGCAGAAAATTATATATTTATTATGAGTTGAAAATGACTTGATGGATCTTAGACCAAAATTTTTTTGCGCTAGGACATACCCACCAGACATGGTAATAAGTACCTGGCTTTCATATATGGCTGGAAAAGATGACTAAAATACAGATAGAATTTAAGCAAGAACTGTTATTGTTAGGAATACTAGGATCTAACTATGGGAAAGAGAATGAGTATTTAATATTACATATATTGACAGCTGTGAGAATAGCATTTGCCCAATATTGGAAAAATGAAAATATACCATCTGATGAGATCATAATTGGGAAAATTCTAGAATGTGCAGAAATGGATGGACTAACCCTAGAGATTAAAGAGAAAGAAGACTCAGTCTATTTTAAAACTTGGGAAAACTTTTACCAATGGTTAGCAAAATGAGTTAGCGAGTAATGATTGTGAAATTTAATAAGATGAATGATATCTACTGATTGATATACTTCATGATTATTGTTATTTTTATTGACTATAGCTATTTATTATCATATTAACTATTCCTATTGAATATCTGTATCCGGACAATAGTCTGTTTGCTAAAGCTTGGAAATGTTATTGGGGACAACCCCATTGTTGTACCTACCCCTATCCCATCCCCGAACCCTACCCTGAATCCCATCCCACTACCTATATCAGTGGTGGCGAACCTATGGCACACATGCCAGAGGCGGCACTCAGAGCCCTCTCTGTGGGTACACGCGCCATGCCCCGGAGATGGCAACCATCCCTCTTCAACCAGCCGCCCACTAACTCACCAAGGTCCCACGTGGCTGGATGCATCCCAGCACCCATGCGCTTGCTGGCCTCTGTGTGCAGGGGCCGATGGTGTCAGGCAGCCGCCGCCCCGGCTGCGGCCCCTGCCTCACCTTGACCTGTGACAATGGCACTCCCACCCTGCCTCACCTTGCCTCGCCTCTCCCCGCAGGACGAGCCTCCTGCCCACCACCCCACCTGCAGAGACCCCCCTGGATCTCCCCCAACCCTGCCCGGCCTCCACAGGCGTCCCTCCCCATGAGCAACATTGAGGTGATCACGCCCACCTTGGCCACACACACCCAATCTGCCATGACCACCACAGCCATGCCCATCAGCCATGCCCACCTGGCACCTGGCGATAAATAAGTGGGTTTTGGGTTGCAATTTGGGCACTCGGTCTCTAAAAGGTTCGCCATCACTGACCTATCTTTCCCCCACCTTTATAAAATCTAATAAAATATTGTTTAAAAAAAAAGAAAGAAAATGACTTGATGGCACATAATCAAATCAGACGACTGAAGCCAGTGAGAGTGAGTGAGTTAGAAATAAGAGTCACTTTCCTCTCTTTCTCTCTCTCTCCTCCTTTCTTTCTTTTCCTGTTTGCTCAGTTGTTTTTAGAATTGTTTTTCAGAGGAAAAAAACAAAGGGCTTCCAAAATATTTTTGAAAATTGAGCCAAAGGCTACATGAAATTTGTACTGAGACTGCAGGTTAATACTCCTGGCCTCAACAGTTCCTAAAGCAATGTCTCTGGTGATTATCAAGGATGCACTAGTACTTTCACAAAACATGAGGAAACGTGAGAGCTATTTCTTCTGTAGCATGGGACCTTCTTTGATTTCTGAAGTTTACAAGCCATGCTTTGATACTGCCCCATTTTCTTCTCCGAATTCTTTTGTACGTATTATTTTCTCTCTTATAGTTATTAATATGTGAAGCTACCTAAGGTCTTTATTGAAAGGGTCCTCTCAGGGCAAATGACAAATGCAATTATTGTATGGAAGACAAGTTGCTGACATACATTAAAACTACTGTTCAGAACATCTTTCCTTAGGCAGGAAATAAAAATTGGTCTCCCTGAAAATTTTTATTAAAACTCAACTAAGCTAGCAATATGTTCTTTCTTCTCATAGTCTGCTTTTTTTTTAGAAAGCACCGTAAGCTCTGTTCTGTCAATTATAGCCTATACTAAATATAGAAAAGGACAGACAACAGTTATGCATATGCCATGTTCCACTAGTCAGTGCAAAGAAAGGGCAACTTGGAAATTTGCTGGTGATGGGCAAGAGGAGAAATGGTGGGAGGCAGGGATGGGTCACTCATAGAGAAAGTGGTGTTGGTGTGTTGGTGTATTGGTTCCATGTTCCAGGTTCCTGGACTCAGCCCCAAGATCCAGCGGTCTGAGCTTTTAGCAATTGATGAATTCCAGTTCAGACTGTAATGAGATCTCTCTCATTCATGGTTTAATGGTGAATGAGAGACTAACAGAATAACAGAGTTGGAAGGGACCTTGAAGGTCTAGAGCTGACCTGACATGCCTTGCTAAGTCTCGGCTTAGTACCGAAGGGAAAGACCTCTTGGAAATTTGCCCAACTGGGTGAGAAACCCAAGGGCAAAAGGTAATAGAATGGCTATCGCCATCCTTGGGACTCTAATGGCTTTTGCATTGTCCCCCTCATGTAAGCAGATAGGAGAACCTGCTGATTAGATGGGAGGGCTGCTACTGCACCAGCCTTTGTGCTGCGTGACTGTTTCCTACCTGGCAGCTTGTGGATTTGGAAGACTTAATCCTGCTCTCTTTAGGTGCAAAGCGGCGGGGGGGGGGCATCTTGGGAATGAATTGCTACCATAGAACAGACCTAGACCTGACCTAGAATTAGATTGTTTTTTTTATTTGGGGCAGTAGCAATGTGATCTGAAGGCAAGGTTGCTATTAATCCTTTATCAGATCATTTTGGGTTCCCTGTTCCTGCTCCTCACCACAGGAAGTAAGATTTGTTAAATCAGCACCTTATAGAACAGGAAAAAAAATGAATTTCTGATTTATGGCTTTGGTGATTGCACAGAATAGCTTATAGAAAAAAAGACAATTATTTTGTAATCATTGAGTAAGAGGTAAAGTTATAATTGTACTTACAAGTGCTATAAAGATCAGAAACTACTTCTTTATATCTTTTTTCTTTTGTTTTTCTATTTTTCTTTTACCACCACCCTCTTTGTTACACTTTTTTTGGCTTGTATTGATTTCTTTCTTTTATTTTTTCTCACTTCTTATTAGCTTGTATTAGTTTTTAATCTTTTTAAAAATCCTTAATCAAATTATACCGCCCCCCAAAAGATTTATTAACCTAGTCTTAGTAACGAAGAGAAGGACGAGGGGGGACATGATAGCAGTGTTCCAATATCTCAGGGGCTGCCACAAAGAAGAGGGAGTCAGGCTATTCTCCAAAGTGCCTGAAGGCAGGACAAGAAGCAACGGATGGAAACTAATCAAGGAGAGAAGCAACCTAGAACTAAGGAGAAACTTCCTGACAGTTAGAACAATTAACCAATGGAACAACCTGCCTCCAGAAGCGGTGAATGCGCCAACACTGGAAGTTTTTAAGAAGAGACTGGACAGCCATTTGTCTGAAATGGTATAGGGCAGTGGTGGCGAACCTATGGCACGGGTGCCAGAGGCGGCACTCAGAGCCCTCTCTGTGGGCACACGCGCCGTCGCCCCAGTCCTAGGCCTTCAGCTGGGTTTTATAAAACCTTTTCGCTTTAGACCTCCACCGCCATGTGCAAAAAAAAAAAGGTTTCAATTTCAACTTCTCGCGGGAAAAAAAAAGATCTTGCAAAGTTAAAATTGATTGAACTTTTTAGTCCCACCCAGTCTGCCATTACCTCCGCAGCTGTGCCCACCCAATTGGCCACGCCCACCCAATTGGCCACACCCAGCCAATGGGCCACACCCAGCCGGCACTCGACGATGCATAAGTGGGTTTTGGGTTGCAGTTTGGGCACTCAATCTCTAAAAGGTTTGCCATCACTGGTATAGGGTATAGGACTTGATGACCTCCAAGGTCCCTTCCAATTTTATCATCATCATCATCATCATCATCATCATCATCATCATCATCATTATTATTATTATTATTATTATTATTATTAGGTCCTCATGTGATCTTGGGGTTTCACAGGGCATTTGGGATTTGATGCACAGAATGCCTTAGTCATTGCCTGGAATAAGGGGATGATGACAGCCTTAGATTAGCTGCATCTGAGAAAATTGTATATTGATCTAGAGAGTTCCTTAGTTTACTGGCAAATTGTAGGAGAGGAAGTGGTAGAAGAAACATCCAGAAGACAGTTAGATGAGGGCAAACCTGAGTTCAAATGAATATTTTTAATTAATATGTACTTAGGGTGATAACAGCAACAAAACATGGTTATTTTTCTTCTCTTATGCCCATAGATAGCTGACTCCCTGGCAGCCCTATTTAGAGACAGGAGGAATTGGGGGAACAGTTTAATTTTAATTTTAACTGAATCATGTCTTTGTCTGTACAATGTTTTTGAATTGGTTTTGATCATCCTGTGTTAGCCTTCCAGAATCACAGTTTGTGAGTTGGATGGTCATAAAAATCGATTAAATAAGTAAATAAATAGCAACACCCATTCTTCCAATAAGAAAGCAGTTCAACTTTTCAGGGACAGTTTAAAGAAACTGAGTTGCATTTAGGATGGTGTTACTGTCATATTAAATGTGACTGATCTTTTCAGTTTTGCAGATAAGCTTTACTAGCACCCCCCCCCCCGGCCCTCATATATAACTTCATCAATCTACCAAAAAATATCTCAACTTTCCTGCCTGGGCACCTTGAAACATTATTTATCACAAGTGACCAGTGAAATGATAAGTATTTTCATCTTGCAGTTTTGTGTATAGAAATGCAATGATTGGGCTAGCAGCTTAGCTTAAAACTGCATATGCTGAATATTCTTCCATATCAGTCTCCCAATGGTTATAAATCTTTTAAAAAGCTGTCTCTGAATTAAACAGTTGGGCTCTTTGATGCTTTGCTTCCCAGCCATTGGAATAGTTGATGATAACTTGAGTCAAAGCCTGTCTTAAAAAATCAGAGTGATTCTGTTGATTCATGAGAACAAAATGAAAATAAAAAAGCACATATTCATAACATGGTAGCAATTTTATTAGACCTTATTACAGAACAATATATGTTAAAATACTGTGTAACTTTTTGGCAAGATGTTTAGGCAGTGTGAGAAATTTTGAGGAGGCTAAGAAAGATATGGGGGAATTTAAATCAAAATAATAAATGGGAGAGAAGTTCATTAATAGATGGCAGCTCAGCTGGGTTGCAGAAAGCCCTGAAGATGAAATTCAGAATATATAGAGATTCTGTCTTGAGGAACTCCTTAGTAAAAGAAAGCTGGAAGTTCCTATTAGAATTTTCAAGATTCTATACTTTGCCCCTAATTCTTGTACAGGTAGTCCTCAATTTACAATCACCATTGATTGAGTCCAAAACTTATGTTGCTAAGTGAATCTGGTTTCCCCATTGACTTTGCTTGTCAGAAGGTCGCAAAAGGGGATCACATGACCCTGGAACATTGCAACTGTCATAAATGGGAGTGAGTGGTCAAGCATCCGAATGTAAATCACATGACCATGGGGATGCTGAAATGGTCATAAGTGTGAAAAATGGTCATAAGTCACTTTTTTCAGTGTTGTTGTAACTTCAGATGGTCACTAAGCGAACTGTTGTAAGTTGAGGACTACCTGTATTAAAGCTCCGCAGTTGAGTGGTTTTGCTTTGTGGATTATACCCTGCAGCATGGAGCTTAACAGATAGTTGGTGGGTCACCCATGTAACCCTTCTGGGAAGAAATTCTCCAGAAATTACCTCAATCACACAGCAGATGATGATGGTTTACAACCTGATGTGTAATTATGCTATGACAACACTGAGGTAAACTGGGCTACAAGGGGGTTACTGGCCCAAAGTAACCTTCAATGGCTGAGAATTGATTAGAACCTGGTAGAACACCTTGATCTCTGTAATAAGTAGAACACCTTGATCTCTGTAATAAGATAAATAAGCAATCTGCCTTTCTTATCACACATTATCCCAAGATAATGTAGTTGAGGCCTGTCATCTTTCAATCAGATTTCACATTATAGTCTTTTTGGAAACTAAAGGTATTTTCCATGTTTTGTCCATCTTTCTCACACTTTGACTTGTGTTTCTCACCCTCTTTCTGAATGTTGTTTTCCTCTCCGCCCATCACAGCATCACTGTTCTTGAACATATGTTTGCATGTACATGTTAAACCTCTATTTTGAAGTCTTATAACTCCTTTTCCAGAGACTGTCCATTTTTCTCTCTGCAGGGCCCCTCGGTTTAAAGGATTTCAACAACAGGATAGCCAGGAGGTGCTCCACTACTTGTTGGATGCAATGAGAATAGAAGAAACAAAGGTGAAGTGTTTATTTTTGCAAAAAGAACCAGTTTGACTGAAGTGACTTCTTTTTTAAAAAACAACAACAACTTTGTGCTATTTTATGCTGTATATGAAGAAAATGATTTACTTTGGTTTACATTGTGTATTGTGGGTCTTCAGTGAAGCACCGATGATGTTGTAGCTTTTGGTGTTGTAGCTTCTTCCATTTATTAATTTTAAATGAGAGTTTATTCATTGGGTACTGTCTGGTTGCTGTGTGAATTTGTTTTGCAAATGAAACCTAAGATTTGCTCTCATATTTGACTGTGTTCAGGGATTCATGGAAAGAAGTTCTTTTATTTTATACTGCTGTTTTTATTATATTGTAATTTAATAATTGTAATAATGTAATAAAAACACATATGAAGGGGGAGTGTCAGGAAACAGGGAGATAACTATCTTGATTTTAGCCCGTTGTGAAATTATATAGCAGGAAAAGTGCTAATTCCCAAAAGAGCACTATCTGATAGTGTATTAGCAGAAATAAATCAAAACGATCATATCACCCATTTTCTTCATTGCCTACATTCCTTTCTTCCTTTCCCTTTAAGGAGGGCAAATGTTGAGCCTGCATCAACAATTAAACCCATATTTTGCCATAATAGAACAATATAGCAAACAGGGATTTTATTACCTCAGGCTTCACAGCAAGGGGCATTACTAGTAAAAGCTGTTGCACCCCCCTCCCTTCCTCCCCCCCTTCCACTTTTCAGGTTTCTGTATAATCATGGCAAATGGAGAATGTCAAATCTGAGAATCTGGACCATCTTGTGAGCAGTGACAGTTGTGCCAGCCTGAACAAACCTGAGCAACATTGTCTGTCATGGGAATACCACAGCTGTTAATCGTGCTATTGTTAGAGAGTGTCACTACGGTGTCTTTTTTTTTTTAAATTGAAGAAAGCCTCCAGCAGTCTGTCTGCCACCAGAATCCTTTAAAACTGATTAGAACGACTAAGCACTCTGTTCTCATGTTTCTCTTAAACGTGGGTTCTTATAAGGATTCACTTTGGGTCAGCTTTTGTTTCGTTTGCAGTTCTGTATTATCCCATCTCTCTGAGTTATCTATATTTCTGCACAAGTAATTAAAAAAAGGTATTTTTTGTAGCTTGTGGAGTTTTTTTTTTTTAATAAGAACTGTTTTCAATAATAAACAACCATTAGAAATAATGAGCATTTTGGTAAAATTAAAGTTTCTTTCTTTAGAGCCACAGAAGGATTTGTGGTTACTTAATCTGTATTTTGAGAGAGTTCTCTTAGTGATATGTTCTATTGATGGACTTGTATTTGTAACTGCTTTGTCCTGAATTGTTATAAATATAGCATTTAGACAAATTAATACTTATAACCATTTTTCAAAAAGTCAGTAATCCCGGCGAAGTTGCATGCAGTCCTCTTATTCCAGTGTGCATACTGGGAGTGTTTCACACCATTGCTTGTTAATTGATTAATGTCTGATGCACTCAAACCCTTAAAAGACTGTCCTTTTGATCTAAATAAATGGCTCAGTATGGTCATTTCAATAAAAAGAGAGTTTCTTTTGCCTGCAAATTTGTTTATGATATCATCTTGATGAGTTATTTATTTAGTTTCATGGATGGATTCTTTTTAATATGTTTGGATTTAAGATGATTAGAAAAAGTCTTTGAGGCATTGGGAATTAATAGTTAGGGCAAGTATTTGTGAAGTAGAAACTCATTTGGTAGAGTAGTTCTAATATAAAGTATTTCACTATATATTCATCATTATACCATTAAGCCAGTAATATATAATCAGGTACCCTTCATCTTTTTCTTGATTATATTTTTTCTAGGTTTTCTGATGGTGATAGTGACATATTTTATACACATACATGAGAAATCACTTTACAGAGACCTATTTTTAAAATGCAGTCATGTATGATTTAATTACAAGCACAGAGGTCTATGCAATAATCACAGCCGAGTTGTAACATACATTTTAATGTTAAAACTTTTTGTATGGATTGTTTAATAATGTCCGTCCTGAATGTTACATTAATATATATTAATAGCAAAAATATCCAGGTGTGAATTTTGTTCTTGCCCAATATTTTCCCTGCCCAATATTTGGACTTATTTTTAGCTCCAGATATCACATTAAAACTTCTGTTGTGCTACCCATCCAGCAAACCTCTTAATATTTTTGAAAAACAAGTGCTCAAGTAAAAGTGTCCAAGATTACATTTTTATCATAAGTTTATTTTTTTCAAACTGGAAGGAGACAATTCCAGATCAATTGATCTTTTGTAATTTATTATTTTCTTTTGTCTTTGTAACATTAACCCCATCTGTTAGCCAATTGATAGGGATATATATTATCCTGCAAAAAAAGGACCCTCTTCCTCCTTCTCTCACTGGAACTGAATTTGGTTTTCCCCTTCCATGTGGTCATCTTTTCTCCTTCTGCTAATGATTTCAATATTTTCTCTAGTTTTTTTTCTGTGTATGCTTGATGCGAGCAGTAATCTTCTTTTAAATCATTCCAGAAGTGATGCATTTTACTAAAATACACAAACTGCAACATTATTGAAGTAATGGATTTTCAGACAACAGTAGACTTTGTATATATATATATATAGTTTCATCTTTAGGCTGAATGAGTTTTGAAGTGGACGCTTTCTGGTTTTACCTTAAGCCAACCTTAAATTATAATATACCTCAAGAAAATGACCATTGTAAAGATAAGTTAATTTTAATTATGCAAATTGCTAGTCTTTATGTTAGAAAAGGAGCAACAATGTATTTAAAGACTTGATAAAATCCACTGTATATTTTCTTGTGACACACATATATTTTTTGTATAAGAAGGGAAAAGTTCATCATTCTGTTGTTTTCTGATTGAATTATTGCTGATAATATATATTTAATTTGTTATAGAACCGTATTTTATTATAGCTGCTCTTAATACCTGTTATATATTTTGTAGTTTTGGACTCATTTTGCAACTCCTTTGACTCGGCTTTAAGGAAAAGGAAGTATAAAAATAACTAAGATTAATTAAATAAAAGAATATGGAAACAAGAGTAGAGGTCTTATTGTGAAAGACTGAGATTGTATTTCAAACTCTGTCATTAATATAAGTCTATGTGTTTGAAAGAAGAGTAACTCCTTTAAGAAGAAACTAGACAGTCACTTGTCTGAAATAGTATACTATAGGTTCTCCTGCTTGAGCAGGGGGCTGGACTAGAAGACCTCCAAGGTCCCTTCCAGCTCTATTCTATTCCTCTCATCTAAGTAGGCCGTTTAATTTTTTTTAAAGTTAAAACTACAAACTTTAATAAAAATGTGCTAAATATCTGTGTTACAGCGCATACAAGCTGCAATCTTAAAAGCATTTAATAATCCAACAACTAAAACAGCAGATGAAGAAACCAAAAGAAAAGTCAAAGGTACGGTTTCCTTTGGCAGAACTTACCTGTGTTTATGAGTTCTCTTAATTATTTTTATAGTATTGTCTAAAAGGCAAATTCATTTATAAACAACACTGAGTTCCAAAGTCATATGTGTGTCTATCTCTCTGTGTATACATATGTGCATACATTAACTGGACTTGGAAGCTGACCTGGTTTTATCTGGATCTAATTTGTTGTTGTTGTTGGATGGGAAACCACAAGAAAGTTTAAGAGGGTGCATTAACTGAGAGATTGAGTAAACATCCCAGAAAGTGGCAGAAGCAAATGACTTCTGTATTGTTATCAAGACAACTGACCCCATCGGTGGAATCATCAGGAATTTAACTCAGATTGAAAGAAATGTTTGATATATACTAGAGCAAACATGTCAAACACAAGGCCCGGGGGCTGGATGCAGCCCGCGAAGTGGTTTCATGTGGCCTGCGAAGCCATCCTGGAAACAGTGAGGGAACGGCCCCCTCTGCCTTGGCCCTGGCCCAGGCCGGCTGGGAGCCAGTGTACAATTTTGTGGTGGCCATCTATGCTGAAACACATTCAGTCTTAGCTCCACAAGGCCGTCTAGAAACAGCGAGGAACCAGCCCCTGCCGCGTCGGCCCCACTCCCTGGGTGCATGCTGGGGAGGTGTCACCCTTTGTGAGGAATGAAGAAATGGACTATGCCTTGGCGCTTGCCCCGGTCCCACCCCCTTCTGCCAGAGACCCTCAGATCTGTCCCACTCCTGTCCAGGCCCCCACAGGCACCCTTGACGCGAACAATGTAGAGCTGGCCATGCCCACCCAATAGGCCACACCCACTCCATCCACGCCCACCGAGTAGGCTGCACCCACCCTGGCCACATCCACCCGGCCCCCCAAGGGCAACCACAATGCTGATGCGGCCCTCAATGAAATTGAGTTTGACACCCCTGTACTAGAGTTTGTGTCTATTATTCTGGCACCACCTAGTGATGTTGTGAAACACTTGTTGGATCAGGGTGGTTTATCCACAATAGCCTGATTTTCTGATAGAGACAATCAGATTGTTCTCTAATAGACTCCATAAAAATGGATATCCTAGCATTTTCACTAGAAGGCAGAATATTGTATAACAGAGGTAGTGTATTTAAGCTGCATGGTGACGTACTCAATCCATAATTGAGGAGGGAAGAAGAGTACACAAGGAGAAGACCGCAGAGTCTGTACACACTTATCTAGGGAAATGTTTCACTGATTTCTGAGAAGGTACTAGGATTGTACCGTGAGGCACTACTTTTCTTTTAGCTAGAAAATGAGAAAAGCTGAAAAGTTGGCAACTTGATGGGTGCAATAAAAAAGATTTCAGATATAAACAGAAGACTATAGCCCTGAACATAATTTAGCTGCAGAATGTATAAAGTTCATGCTATGTAAGGAGTTAGAGAGATTATTTTCTGCTGATAAAACATCAGCTATGTCATCTCAAGGAAAATAGTTGTGCTTCCCAGCTTGTTAATGAGTAAAGTTGACATAATTAGTTAAAGATACTGAAACCCATATTCTTTGAATAGTTTCTAAAATTATATTAAGGGGGAAAAGTAAAATCTACTGGAATTTACTGATGCATCACGCAACATAATATCTGCCACATTCCTTGTGAAATACAAATGATATATCTTTATCTAACCATCAGAAATAAAAACCAAAACTGAATGCAGTCATAGGTTACTCATTTTTATAATTAAACTGTATCTGGGTGCAAACATCCAGTGACCCCTTTCCTCTTATTGCCATCTGGTGGCCACCCAAGCATTTGCAGCTTTGGTATGATATATACCGATATAATATTTTTCCTGCTGATGGATGCAAACTATAACTTATTTTGGGTGTATATTTTCTGAAATAAATCCTAGAATTAATTCTGCTAAATTTAGAAGAGAGATGCACAATTTTTAAAGAAGTTCTTTTTCCCCCAGCATATGGAAGAGAGGGTGTGAAGATGAATTTCATAGACAGGATTTTTGTGGGTGAATTGACCAGCACTATCATGTGTGAAGAATGTGAAAATGTAAGTATTATGGAATTTGATATGATTGGATAAGAAGGATGTTGAATAATGATTTGGATAATGGTAGGCTAATTTCTGATATTGTCATGACAATGTGGATTGGCTTCTTAAATATTATGGAAAACAATTCACTAAGTTCAACTTGATCTTCCGGCTCTCCAATTTGTCAAGTATTTGCTTTACTTGGAGAAAAAAGAAATGTTTTTTCTTATAATCAGCATAGATCTAAGAATACCAGTTGTGGAAAATATACTAATATGTAAAGAGAAAGAATGGTTTTTTCCTGAAATATTCATTAGTGCATGCAGGCCAACACTTGAGTTGTAGCCTGCAGCTTGAACAGGGGATGAGGCACATCACATAAGTCAATAGGCTGCCTCAGGTACTGGTATAAGACTTGTGAGGTCTTCAGGATGGTCCTGGTTGGTTCTTCTCCCCACCATCGTTGCTGTTCTCCATTCACTTGCTTCTCCATCCTGTCTTCTTTGCTTGACGGGTGGATGAAAAGCCCCCCCCCCCAAAAGCAGAAATTACATCTATTTTTCTTTCTTCACTGCCTATTTCAATTACTTGAAAAAAAGCAAGTGAACAAATCACAGTAATAAGGAAGAAGAGCAACTCTAGACAACGGAATTGGGAGTGGGCCTCCTAGCAGGGTGTGGACTTTGGTATTCTAGCTTCTCAGACAGTGGTTCTCAACCTGTGGGTCGGGACCCCACTTGGGGTCGATCGACCATTTCACGGGGGTCGCCAAGCAAGGCTGTCCGCCATTTTTTTTCCCTTTTCCGGTGGGTGCCTTACCTCCCTTGAGCTGGGCCAGCTGGTGGTCAGCTTGCTCCGTCTCTGCCGCTTGCCAGCTACGCCTCGGCTGGCGCAGGGGGCGGAACCACGCATGCGCGGCGCTCCCAGGCAGGGAAAGTCCTCGACTTACGACCGTTTGGGTAGTCCTCGACTTATGACCGGTTTAGTCCTCGACTTATGATCGGTTTAGTCCTCGACTTACGACCGGTTTAGTCCTCGACTTACGACCGGTTGGGGTCGCGGCATTAAAAAGGTTGAGAACCACTGATCTAAGATGAGAGACAACTCAGTTGCTTGATGCCTGATTCTACCAGCCAGTACACTTGGCCTTGTTTCATAGTTTGCTTTAATTGGTGTCTCTGCTGAAGGAAGATTCTGTGATCCAGTAGAAGATAATGCATTAAGGAAGGAATGGCAATTTTGATAACTGCACTTTGGCCTCACTGCCTTCCACAGTTCTTTTTAAAGAGCTGCCAATCTATCAGAGGGGAAATAACTGAAAATGATCTCTTCCCCCTCTACTTCTAACAGATAGCAAAAACTTTCTGTTAGTCAAGAGACGTTAGCTGAATATATAGTTATGTGATTGGGGAATAATTAAGTATTTTAAAGAAGTATTTTTTATGAATAGTACTGATTTAAATATATTTGTCGATACCTATGAAGAATCATCTTTTAATAGTTTCTATAACTTACATTGGTGATAATGAGCAGTTCATAATTATGTGGTTTTTTTCCTAATGTGTCTGTATTTCTGAATTCATAACCAATGAGGATTGCATATTCAGTTTCCAAGATTCTTTATCCTGCTCCCTTTTTCCTGGTATTAGAGCAGATTAATGAAATTCCATATAAAACTTGCTTTATATCTTGTACATTGTTGTCAAGAGGTTTGATACTACTATTAGACATATATAGAAGTTTGTTATTTTTCTCTGCTTTTAGTGGACAACATCCTGAAACCACCTATAAAGTAGTCAGATTATGTGTTCGTGCTTGTAGAATTCAACAGAAAATTCTAAAGCAGGAGTCCCCAACCCTGGTCTGTGGACCAATACCAGGCCACGGCATGCCAGCAACCAGTCTGCACAAACAACAAAGCCCCATCTGCGGGATGCAGGCAGCACACACAAAACCACACACTCTCTGATCCATGGAAAACCTCTCTCCTCTCCATGGAACCGGTCCCTGGTGCCCAAAAGGTTGGGGACCTCTGTTCTAAAGGAATCTCTGTTCTCTTTTGTAATAGGATACTGTATTTTATAATACTTCCAGTGCATTTTAATGTGTCTTATCTGTGTAAAGGTACATGAAAATTGTTTTGCATGCATAAAGAGTTATTCACCGGCTCAAGGTTGACTTGGCCTTCCGGCCTTCTGAGGTCAGTAAAATGAGGACCCAGATTGTTGAGGGCAATATGCTGATTCTGTAAACTGCTTAGAGAGGGTTGTAAAGTACTGTGCTATTGCTAAGTGCTACTCTTTTATAAAGCTATTAAACAGCAAAGCACACAAAATAGAATCTGTCGCAGTGTCCCACGGTTACGTGATTACCTCACAGCTGGCTACCAACAAGCCGAGTCAACGGAGAAGCTGGCAATAAAATTGCAAGCTGTGATCATGTGATGTCCACAGGTGATTTGCTTAACAACCACAGTGCATGTATGGCTGTAACCCCATTTGCATTCATGTGGTATCTCACAATGACTATATTGCTTAGCAACACAGTTGCTAATCCCAATTGTGCTCATTAAATACTACCTGTACAGTAGGGATTTTTTTTTTCCATTTCCAAATCCCAGTTCTTCAATTTTTGTGAAGTATTCCAATGCCTAATAAAAATGTGTTTACTGTATAACTTTGTACGTTTGGGGGAATCCAGGAGATGTATATATTCACTTGCCATTTTCATTTTTTTGTGTTTTAAGATTTCCACAGTAAAAGAACCCTTCATTGATCTTTCCCTTCCTATAATAGAAGAAAGGGTAAGAAAGTTCTTGTTCAATAAAGCCTTCATTTTAATTGTCAGAAGTCTTCTTTGTGCCAGTTGATATAAAGAACTCAGCCAATTTAGGATGAAGAAAAGAAGAATATATTGTTACTCATAGAAATTATAGCTGGTGTCATATATCACTTTAAATCTGGCTTGGTTTTGGTTAATAGTAGTAGTAGTAGTAGTAGTAGTAGTAGTAGTAGTAGTAGTAGTAGTAGTAGTAGTAATATAATAATAAAGTCAGAAGGGACCTTGGAGGTCATCTAGTCCAACCCCCTGCTCAGGCAGGAAATCCTATACCATTGCGGACAAATGGCTGTCCAGTCTCTTCTTAAAAACTTCCAGTGTTGGAGCATTCACCGCTTCTGGAGGCAGGTTGTTTAGACTAGATTACTGTGTAAACTCAGACATTACAATTTTTAATTCATGGTATGTATGAACTCCAATTCTGGTTAAAAATGTCTTAGATGATTTGCTACACCCTAATAACCCATCTTGATTTTTCTAGATCTCGAAACCTGTTTGTTTTGGAAGGACAAGCAAAGGTAAACAAATGCAAGAAGCAGATATTGATCGATTCAGCTGTTCTTCCATAAGAGTTCTGACTAATCAGCAATCAAAATTATCTAGAAAATGTTCATTAACAAAGGATAAGGTAAGAATAAGCCAGTATGGACAATTGTACATGAATTCAGATGTTTTTCACATAAATGTTAATGTTCTCTCTAAAAACCTGGAGTAACATATTTTTAATTTGCAATTTTAGGTCCCAAGTGTTAGGATGTACTTTGATGACTTTTTCCAGAAATCTTAGTACTGCATTGATTAATTGAAAGATTTTAATAAAAGAAATGATTGTGACTGAAATATATATAAGATTGTATATAAGTATGAAGAGACTGAAGATATCTTAAAATTATAGATTTAAAATATAGGTACTTGAAGACAAACATTCAAATCTGATTTGGGAACCTTGCTGAAAAATGATTTTAAACAGTATCATTTAAAATCTTTTGAAAAGAACTTCCATAAATTCAGAAGCTGTTTGTTTATTCATTATCAAATTTTAGTTTCCACATTCTGCACATTGGTTATAAATGGCAGCATCAATTATAAACATATGAAGTTGGCAGGTTCTAACAAGATCAAGAGGCTTTATCAATTTAAAGTAATTTATGTATTAATTTAAACTATTTACACAAAGACTAAAACTAAATGGTTTTCTGTTTAAATTTCTGTCATCTCATAATTATGTAGATTTCCTTTCATTTGAATAGTTTCTTATTCAGGCTTTTTGGTCCCTTCAGACATAAACATTTTACAATATTACAAATTACAGTAAGCGATAATGCGGTTGACATTTGGTTTAACTTAATAAATAAATTGAAAAGATGCCAAAAAGATTGTGCCAATGAATGTGCTTTGGTTTTTTGTAGTTTCCTGGTTAATGGGTTGCATTTTGCTCAATCCTTTAATCAATCCATAGTGCAGCTAAAGACCAGCTAAAGAAAGAAGAAAAATAAATCAGGAATAGGCCATAGAAACTACAGTATGATCATTTGTTCATCTTCAAGAGAAACTTGGGTTACCTGATTATGGCTAAAATAAACCATAGTTTAGCACAATGTATAATAGTAATCACTATTGATACTTATTTCCTAAGTTCCTAAGTAAGTTCCTAAAGCTGAATGGTGTAATATAGAAATATTTTTTACCTACAGAATACATGTATTGGCTGTTATTTTCTTTTTTATGTCCTGTGTTGAAATCCTGTATTCTTAGCCAAGGATGACAGAAAACTTTGCTTCTCTATAAAAAATAAGGCCATTCAAATTCACCTTGTGGCAAAATGGGTGGCAAATAAATTTAATAACAAACAAACAAATAAACAAAATAATTAATTCAGTAATGTACCTTACTGAATTGAATAGCAGTTTTTAAATTTCTCATTGCCAAACCTAAAATTCAAAAATAAAAAGCACCAGTAGTGGAATTCCAACATGAACTTTTTAAATTATTCTTTTATTTATGTCGTAATATTAATTTTTATTACAGTTTCAAATTGGCTACAACAAACCCAGTAAAAATGGCCTTTCTTTAAGAAAGACTCTTCCATGAAATATTGTGGATCAGGAATTAATCTGAAGAAAAAGATGTCATCTTATGTCTTTTTAATTTGTGGAGAGTTTAAAAAAAAACCCATTGCCTTTAATTTGTAGCAAACAGAAAAGGACAATAATGGAATTCAAAAATAAATGACAATAGTTGATAGCACTTAGACTTATATATCTCTTTAAGCAGTTTACAGATTCAACAAATTGCCCCCAGCAATCTGGGTCCTCATTTTACCGACTTCGGAAGGGTGGAAGGCTGAGTCAAACCTGAGCCAGTGAGAATCAAACTGCCGAACTGTTGGCAGTCAGCAATGTAAATGAAGAATCAAATATACCAAAAAGTAAATAGAAGAATTCTAATAATACAAATTATTAGGATATATATATATATATATTCTACACACACAAACTATGTTAAATAGTAAAAAGCAAACTCTTGCAATAAAAGCAGAACATAACACAATTTAAAAAGAAAAAGGACATATTTCCAAAAGAAATAACAAATGTGCCATAGGTAGGCCAACAATAAACAGCAAAATAAAACTTCAGCTGGACATCATTGAATAAAAACTAGCTTGAATACAAGAAAGGTCTAAAAGAAGGTCAGTCAGTCTTTTATGAAGGTCAGTGACCAAAATTACACTTACCAGAAAATAGAAATTAAGACATGTGAAATGTAAAAATACATGAAAAGAAACAATGACTTAGATAATCAGTATGATTAGTTACCACAGGTTTTACAAATAATAAAACAAAAATTGGCTGAAGAGACCGAATCATATTGACCTGCTAACAGTTATATCTAATATAAATTTGAATGAGCTAGAAGTTTAATTAATGTGCAATATAAAATAAAGCTATGCATTTTTATAAAATGGGTAGGATTTCACGTTTTCCAAGAACAGAGAGCAAATGCCCAAGCTCTTCTTCCCAACCCCTTGGTACCATCCCTGCTTAGACTACCAGTCTGAACTCTAAAATCTAACCGTATAGAAGGCCCAGTTTCTAGATATACCTACATATTTATGAATGTGTAAAGAAAGTAAGATTGTATTTGCAGTGCTTCTTTTTATATATATATAGATTTTATTAGTTTTTATAGGGTTAGGGATAAGGTGGGGTTGGGATTAGGGTTGGGATTTGGGTTAGGGTTAGGATTAGGGTCGGGGTGGGGGTGGGGTTTTTTCCAAATAACATTTTCAATATTTAGCAAACAGCATAATGTCTGGGTACATGTATTTAACTAACAATAATAGATATAGTCAATTATCATAAACAATATGTTAATCACTCAATAGCCTTCTTACTAATATATATTCAAAATTACATATCACATTCCTTTCTCTCTGACTCGTTTTTCTAGCCATTGATGAAAATTATCCCATGTTCTAAAATACACTGAGTCTTCTTTCTCTTTTATCTTTAAAGTCAATCTATCCATTTCTGCACACTCTAGAATTTTCTTGATTAGTACTTTCTTCAGTTGGTAAATTTTCATTTTTCCAATGTTGGGCAAATACAGTTCTTGCTGCAACCTTTCTCATAGTTAGCTCCTATTATTCCTAACAAAAATAATTCTGGTTTAAAGTCTATTTGTTTTTTAGTCATTTTCTCCAACCATAAATGTATTTGCAGTGCTTCTATGGGATTTGAATAATGTGGTGATGTTTTTTTCTCCTTTTTCCTTTAACACTTTGATGATGACTTGGCAGAACCAAGTAAACCACGAAAGACGACTTGCCAACAAATCTGGTGAAGAAGAAACAAGCCCTTTTATCCTGCCTGGAAAAATCAGAAACTCTAAAATAGAAGACAGAGCCAATCCTTCATGCGCAAGAGACAGCGGTGCCCTCCTGGACTCTCCAGGAAATGGGAGTCAGACTGAAGGCAGCGAGAAAGAAGTCAGCCGTTCTGAAAGTAGCATTGATGCCGATAGCGAGGCTTCTGAAAGTGAAAATGCTTCTAAGCAAATGATGGCCAATAAAACTTGCCCCGCGCCTGATTTGTGCACAGATGGACACAGACACTTACCTGCAAATGCTAAAATGCAGTACAGCAAATCAAGCAATAGCAGTACGGAGGCACTTACTAGTGCCTTGTCAAAATTTCACTTTGGAAGCCCAGCCATGGAGAGCGAAGGCCCTCTCAACACTCTGTCGAGCCTGTCGAAGAGCACTGCCTTTTCAACGGAGGGGCAAAACCCTCAAAATGCTTTCCAGACTCTTTCTCAGAGTTACGTAACAAGTTCTAAGGAATGTTCGGTTCAATCATGCCTCTATCAGTTTACCTCCGTGGAGCTGCTAATGGGAAACAATAAGCTGCTGTGTGAAAACTGTACAGATCAGAAGCACAGAAACCAGAAAAAAGCAAATTCCGCAGGTAGCTGGTAATAAAAAAAAAATCTTTCTGATTCAAGGACATGCTCCTTCAAGAGTGGTATTTGCATGTCTTGGAAAAGCCGCGCCCTCCCCATGTTCTAATCCAGGGGTGTCAAACTGCCGGCCCGCGGGCTGGATGCGTCATGCTGAAACCGCGCCCACCCCATTGCCGGCAATGGAGAAAAAGTCACGATATGTCACGACACGTGATGTTGCGAGTTTGACACCCCTGTTCTAATCTATACTATCTGCTTTAAAAGTGAATTGGGGAATCCATTTCAAAGACCTTGTATAAACTCACCTAGAGGTGAACTATTCATTGATTCTTTGCATGTAAGATTGTTCGAGTTCATTGCTGGCTTTGATGGCCCTTTGAACCAAGGGTGTCTGCTGAACCACCCAACAGCATCCTTTTGAGGCAGATTTGTAGTTTATCTCCTGAAGAATAGGGGAATGTTCTTGAATCTGTTGGAGCCAGTTGAAACTCTTCTTAAGTTGGCTTTGAGGGCCCTATAAAAAAAAACACTATTCGGCCAATGATCAGATTATTGCTTCCTTCTTGCAGATAGAAGGAAAGAGTGAAGCTGTTGCTGAAGGAATTATAGCTTTGTCAGTTTTAATGACTGTTGGGTGATATCCAATATTCCACACTCAGCTAAGCTGATGGAGAAGATAGTAGTACTAATTCAAAGGTTTCGTTTTTTTTAACATTCTGAGTTTAGCCATGGAGTTGCCCGTTGGTTGGCCTGTTCATATAGAATGACAAGGAAAGCCCTTATTAATGCTACTGGCTCTTTCAGTGGCTTGTGATACTATTGACCAGGATATATTGTTGGAACATCTGTTTCTATCTCTATCATCTCTCTCTCTTTCTATCATCTCTGTCTCTATCTCCATCTCTGTCTCTATGCTCTGCCTTATAAATGATGTGTTTTTCATGTATTTCCAGATCATTTTCCTTATAAATGATGTATTTTTTTTATAGATAAGAAGACAGAAGGTGTCTATACAAATGCTAGGAAGCAGCTGCTGATTTCTTTGGTTCCTGCTATTCTGATCCTCCATCTGAAAAGATTTCATCAGGTAATGCCCTGAAACAGATGGGCTCCCCCCCCCCCAAAGTTAATAGGAGGTTTTTTTTATTAGAGCTACATTTAATATTTGTATGGTTCATTTTCAGAAGTTGTCTAGGAGTGGTGGAAGATTTGCAAAAACAAAGTGGTCTTTGTTGCACACTAGAATTTTACCATTTTCACTGAGCAGCTTATATATAGGTTACATTCAGAGTTTGTTGTCTTTCCAATACTTTTGCAAAGTAATATAGTATATTTTCTGTTAAAAGAAAAAAAAATAAATGGGTCACGTTTTGTTTCAGCACTACTTGACTCCTGGCTTAATAATATGCTTCAAATATAGCATGAAGGTTCAGGTTTTGCTCTTGATTCCTAAATATTCTGTTTAACTTTTGCTGGACTGGAATGATACAAAGCAAGAAGATATTTTAGGTTGTATATTGTAGCTCAGTCTATAAGATCATTTATTTTGTAGATCTCTCATAGTAACTACTGATTTACTTATTTTAAAATGTAACATTTCAAATATTTAAAATTCAAATTCTACAAATATTTTCAATTTCTTCTTAAGGCTGGCATGAGCCTACGAAAAGTAAATCGGCATGTAGATTTCCCACTTGTTTTGGACTTGGCTCCATTTTGTTCTGCTTTTTGCAAGGTAAGACATAATAAAAACATAACGTCAGATTGTGTTTGAAGCAAAATTGGTAATGTTTCAGTTGAAAATTTCTTCTTACAGATGTCAAACATTTTTAGCCATACATTTCAGTCAGATCCTTGTACAACACAAGATCATTCTGTTAAACCAAGCTTTAACGCTAGCTGAAAATACCTTTTGCTACCTGAAATTAGAATAAACTGGCTGTTTTGTTTTTTTTAAATTGCATTTATTTAACATGTATCAAACAATTGGCCAGTCCTGGTTTCTACAATAAAGGCTCTACATTCTTCTTGCTAGCTTAGATTTATGGCTAATTATTAATAATACATTTAAAAGACAAAGAAAGAGAGAAATAAGGCAAATTAAAATATTAAAAAAACCATGTTAGTTAGCCAGTGCAACAGCATTACAAAACCCATATTGAAAATATTACAAAGTCCATACTGCGTGGCCCTCACTTCCTTCCTTCCTTTCCTAGAATGTGGCTGATGGTGGCAAGGTCCTCTATGCGCTTTATGGAATAGTAGAGCATAATGGCTCAATGCGGGGAGGTCATTATGCAGCTTATGTAAAAATCCGATCATCGTCCAAAAAACATTTGGAGCACAATTCTAGCAATAAAAATGTTCAAGGTAGGTATCTAAACAAAAACTGTGTGATTAGATAATATATATATATATATATATACCTTCTGCGTTGTGTATATAGGTGGTCCTCAACTTACGACCACAATTGGGATCAGCAAGACAGTTTTTAAGTGAGTGGCACCCAATTTTATGACCTGTTTTGCTGCAGTTAAGTGAATCATTGCATTTGTTAAGTGAATCATGTGGCCGTTAAGTGAATCTGACTTCCTGCACTGACTTTGCTTGTGGGGAGCCAGCTGGGAAAGTTGGAAAGGGTGATCACATGACTCCAAGACATTGCAGCCGTCATAAATACAAGCTTGGTTGCCAAGTGCCTGAATTTTGATTATGTGACCAGTGTATGCTGCTACGGTCATAAATGCAAGGACGGTTTCTGCTTATTATTTTCAGTGCCTTTGTAATTTTGAATGGTCACTGAATGAATGGTTGTAAGTCAAGGATCACCTGTATGTATATTTATTTTTTTAGAAACATCACTTTGCTTTAAATGTTCAGTTAATGAACAACATACAGCTAAGCATTCTTTTTTTATATATAAATATTTTATTAATTTCAAGTTTTACAATCATAAGTACTTAATAAACAACACGGTGTCTGTGTTCCTTTGTCATTCAGTGGTACATATTAACTTTCACTCAAAATATCCAATACTACACCCTCCAGTATTTCCTCAGTCCTCTCTTCTCCCAATAATAATCGTTTTTCCACACTAGGCAAATACAGTTCTTACTGCTATTAATACCTATACAGTTAAATATAAGTATTTTCATCACATGTTTCCAATGTTATGTCTAGTATCAATAATGTCAGTTTATAATATCTTCTCTGGCCAAAACATATCAAATGTATATGCAATCAAAATTCCCTTATTCAATCCTTATCCTTTTTTTCTCTTTTTTTTTCAATTGTAATTTCCCATCAATATTCAAAATAACTTAATCAGTTATCATTTTTCTCATAATTAATTACATTTAGGTAACCAAACCTTCCCTTATATCAAGGGTAGGCAACCTTGGCTCTTTTATGACTCGTGGACTTCAACTCCCAGAATTCCTGAGCCAGCATGGCTCAGCATGGAAACCTTTCCATTTCTCCTCAGCATGGCTGGCTCAAGAATTCTGGGAGTTGAAGCCCACGAGTCATAAAAGAGCCAAAGTTGCCTACCCCTGCCTTATACTCTTGATTGTACCTTCTCTTATTTGTTGATTTAACAGCTAATCAAAACTGGTGTACGTGTCTGTTTGCATTGCAGGTTTAAAAGAATCTCCGGGATCAGCTGTAGGACAGTGGGTATATGTCAGTGATACCTATGTACAAGCAGTCCCAGAATCAAGAGTATTAAATTCACAAGCCTATTTGCTTTTCTATGAAAGAATTCTGTAGCCATGTTCAGTATGGAAAACAGGAAAGCAGTGTTATTTAACTTGCTTAAGTGCACAGAAAATTACAGTATGTGTAAATATTGTGCCTTTATCTGTTCCTCTTCTTCAATAGAAAATATACCCTGGTTTCAGATTGTAAATCATGGCTTGGATACAGAACAGCTTCCCCCCCCCTTTTTTCATGCATACAAAAAATACAATAGAGTGGCTAACATTTTTGTTCAGTTGCTGTTTTAAAAGAGCCTATAGTTTCATATGCTTTTATGAAGAGTTGAGGGCAAAGACTGCATTGAAATGGAAATTAATAAAAAAAATTGTCATATGTGATTAGAAGAAGGTGGGTGTATGTGTGCGTTTCTGAATCCAAGCAGACATTGCTTTTGGACTCCTAAATTGTAATGTGAAACAATACATTCTGAAACTAAACAGTAATGTTTCAAAATGGGCTAATTAAAATCATGTGCTTTTTCAAAAGTTAACTGCAGGAACAATCTTGATAAGACTGACAACCTGATTTTTCTTCAGTGAAGAAAAAGCTGTTTATGGACACCAAAGCATGTTTTTGTAAAATATTTGGCACTTGATAATTCTTGAAAGAAACGATTCTTATAAATTTAACATGTTCCACNTCCTTCCTTTCCTAGAATGTGGCTGATGGTGGCAAGGTCCTCTATGCGCTTTATGGAATAGTAGAGCATAATGGCTCAATGCGGGGAGGTCATTATGCAGCTTATGTAAAAATCCGATCATCGTCCAAAAAACATTTGGAGCACAATTCTAGCAATAAAAATGTTCAAGGTAGGTATCTAAACAAAAACTGTGTGATTATATATATATATATATATATATATATATATATATATATATATATATATATATACCTTCTGCGTTGTGTATATAGGTGGTCCTCAACTTACAACCACAGTTGGGATCAGCAAGACAGTTTTTAAGTGAGTGGCACCCAATTTTATGATCTGTTTTGCTGCAGTTAAGTGAATCATTGCATTTGTTAAGTGAATCATGTGGCCGTTAAATGAATCTGACTTCCTGCACTGACTTTGCTTGTCGGAAGCCAGCTGGGAAAGTTGGAAAGGGTGATCACATGACTCCAAGACATTGCAGCTGTCATAAATACAAGCTGGTTGCCAAGTGCCTGAATTTTGATTATGTGACCAGTGTATGCTGCTATGGTCATAAATGCAAGAACCGTTTCTGCTTATTATTTTCAGTGCCTTTGTAATTTTGAATGGTCACTGAATGAATGGTTGTAAGTCAAGGATCACCTGTATGTATATTTATTTTTTTAGAAACATCACTTTGCTTTAAAAGTTCAGTTAATGAACAACATACAGCTAAGCATTCTTTTTATATATATAAATATTTTATTAATTTCAAGTACTTAATAAACAACACCGTGTCTGGGTTCCTTTGTCATTCAGTGGTACATATTAACTTTCACTCAAAATATCCAATACTACACCATCCAGTATTTCCTCGGTCCTCTCTTCTCCCAATAATAATCGTTTTTCCACACTAGGCAAATACAATTCTTACTGCTATTAATACCTATACAGTTAAATATAAGTATCTTCATCACATGTTTCCAATGTTATGTCTAGTATCAATAATGTCAGTTTATAATATCTTCTCTGGCCAAAACATATCAAATGTATATACAATCAAAATTCCCTTATTCAATCCTTATCCTTTTTTTCTCTTTTTTTTTCCAATTGTAATTTCCCATCAATATTCAAAATAACTTAATCAGTTATCATTTTTCTCATAATTAATTACATTTAGGTAACCAAACCTTCCCTTATTCCAGGGGTAGGCAACCTTGGCTCTTTTATGACTCGTGGACTTCAACTCCCAGAATTCCTGAGCCAGCATGGCTCAGCATGGAAACCTTTCCATTTCTCCTCAGCATGGCTGGCTCAGGAATTCTGGGAGTTGAAGTCCACGAGTCATAAAAGAGCCAAAGTTGCCTACTCCTGCCTTATACTCTTGATTGTACCTTCTCTTATTTGTTGATTTAACAGCTAATCAAAACTGGTGTACGTGTCTGTTTGCATTGCAGGTTTAAAAGAATCTCCGGGATCAGCTGTAGGACAGTGGGTATATGTCAGTGATACCTATGTACAAGCAGTCCCAGAATCAAGAGTATTAAATTCACAAGCCTATTTGCTTTTCTATGAAAGAATTCTGTAGCCATGTTCAGTATGGAAAACAGGAAAGCAGTGTTATTTAACTTGCTTAAGTGCACAGAAAATTACAGTATGTGTAAATATTGTGCCTTTATCTGTTCCTCTTCTTCAATTGAAAATATACCCTGGTTTCAGATTGTAAATCATGGCTTGGATACAGAACAGCTTTCCCCCTCTTTTTTCATGCATACAAAAAATACAATAGAGTGGCTAACATTTTTGTTCAGTTGCTGTTTTAAAAGAGCCTATAGTTTCATATGCTTTTATGAAGAGTTGAGGGCAAAGACTGCATTGAAATGGAAATTAATTAAAAAAAATTGTCATATGTGATTAGAAGAAGGTGGGTGTATGTGTGTGTTTCTGAATCCAAGCAGACATTGCTTTTGGACTCCTAAGTTGTAATGTGAAACAATACATTCTGAAACTAAACAATAATGTTTCAAAATGGGCTAATTAAAATCATGTGCTTTTTCAAAAGTTAACTGCAGGAACAATCTTGATAAGACTGACAACCTGATTTTTCTTCAGTGAAGAAAAAGCTGTTTATGGACACCAAAGCATGTTTTTGTAAAATATTTGGCACTTGATAATTCTTGAAAGAAACGATTCTTATAAATTTAACATGTTCCACAAATGGAAAGTAGTTTTGTTTCAGGAAACAAAACGGTCATTCTACAAAACTAGGATACTATATTGTGTGTTCTAAGGGAATGTGGAAATGCACCTAGGCTTGATTTTACTCCGGGACGCTTTTCTTGATTTGAATATGCCTTGAAATCTGATGATGTTACAGATGAAAACTCCATCAGAAAGCAAGCTAAACATTCTTCCTGTGATGTGCTGGCTTTCAAATTTAGTGAACCCCAAATCACCTCTGAATCCATCTTACTTGCACTGTGAAGCTGGAGCAAGCCATACCTTTTCTTCATATAAATATATGGGCAAATAAATGCATGCTTTCTAGAGAACAGATTACCTTCTCTGAACGTTGAGAAACAATGTCATACAAAACAAATCTCAGAGGCACAAGTATGTGTACTGTATATATGTTTTTACTATTTACTGCACGCTGTTGGGGCTCTGTTTTTATAATAATGTTAAGTAGGTCGAGAAGGGAACCCCAGCAAGGAAAAGTTAAATTAACTTTATCCAATCATATTGTGGGAATATATAAAGACAGGTAGTTGAGTTATCTACTTAATACTTGAGAAGAAAAAGACCAGAAGAAAAAGAGTAAATAAAAAAGCAACTTTCTCAGTGACAGAACTAATTTTTGAGGCTCAAGCACACATAATGTATGTACCAAATGCTGTTTAGTGGCACGGTTCAAGCCAGCCTATTCCCTGGAGAAGAGGATAGTGATATAATGATATTTGGGTAAAGCTCCTGATAAAACTATATATTTCCTGGAGAAAATATATGGGACACTGTACTCTGTAAATGGTTATTGGTGACCTGCTTAGGGTGATTGTGTGTTGCCAGAGACCATCATTTGACTGGGTTACAGAATGACTGGGTAAAAGTAGGTAGAAACAGGTTCCTTGAATTAAATACTACATATCTTTAAAGAAAACTACATTTTCCTAAAATATTTTATATTTTGTGTTTTTCATTATGTACATTGATATAGTTGAGTATTAGGGTGTCCAAATGTATGTGATTTAAGGTGACTTAAATAGAATTAGCTCTCAGGTCTTTGTTGTGAATATCAATACATTGTTTTATTTTTATATATTAAATAACTGTACAATTGGCTTCCCATTAAGTGTAAAATATGCTTGTATGGTGTAGAATTTGGTTATTTATAAGTTTTGTAACTATGCCACTTGGTACAGAAGGTTTGAGGCCATATTGAAGAGGATTGATGACAGTCGCCTTTCCTTCTTAATCATCCCATCATCCTCTGAAACCTATTTTGAGAGTAGAGGACTCTGTTGAACAGGAAGGATTATTCTACAAAACAACGAGGAGAGTAAAAACTGAATAGAGGCAACTTCTGCTAGTGGGAGTATGGAATATGTCTCTATTTATTTTGGGGAAGGAGGTGCTTTCCAACTCCTGTATATTTAATGCAGTAGGCTTGTTGAACTTACGGCTGCTAAAATAGAAAAGTCTGCATTTATCAATTCTAGATCCAATGTTATGAATCAGAGATAACTATTATAGGCCTATTTTCTGTTTGTTTTCAATTACCGGTAGTATGAGGGGGAGAAATGTATGAGTGTTATCCTGCTGATTTTCTCAATGTTCTTGAGTACCATTGACTAAAACTTCTGTAAGGATTGGGAATACTGTAGAGAGCATTGTTCCTCAGTGAATCTCCTTCCTGGAGAATCTCCTAGTTTCAGTCAGTGGTGGTCAGTGGAAGAGATTGAGCCTTTGGCCATTTCATTATAGAGTGTCCCAGACCTTGTTCCTCTCTCCATTACTATTTAACAGCCACATAAAGTCACTTGGAGAGATCATGGCCAGCATGGGATGAAATATCACCAATAGGCTGTATAGTAGATAAATGCTTCCCTTAGCTGGTTAGGGGCTCCCGGTAGGTAATATGTAGCTGGATTCCAGTAGAGGTACTGTGTTGCCCCGAAAATAAGCCCAGGTCTTATATTTATTTTTGGTGCAAAAGACCCATTAGGGCTTATTTTCGGAGGATGTCTTATTTTTTTCACCACAAGGCCCAGCCTGGCTGGGGCCCCGCCCCACCAGGAGACTCAAGTTTCCCTTGGTGGGGGAGGAAGGCTTTGGAAACTGCCTTTTCATTTACATTCATCATCAATATTGTAATCCATCCCTTTATTTTTTTTAAAAAAAAATGATTTGTATTTACCACAATTAGCCTCCTTGATCGCCAATGGGAAGGCGTGGTATGAATTCTGCGCATGAGCCGCAGAAATACAGACACTCGTACCCTCACGTCGCTTCCTCGCTCAGGGAGACTTGTTGCAGGTGTGTTCAACTTTGTGGCTGAGCTAAGCTCTTCAGCTGCGGTGGGCCACAGTTCCCATCAGCTTCAGGAAGCCTGGGCGATGGAAACCTTAGGCCAGGTTTCTCGCAGCTGAAGCAATCTGGCTCACCCAGGGTCAGGTTGGCCATCACCGGAGGCATGGCCCATCCCTGTCCTCCAGCTCCGCCGCACATGCAGGACAAGTCTTCTGTGACGGCCAACCTGACCCTGGGCGAGCCGGATTGCTTACAGGGAGAGGCTGCGCATTGCAGGACGACTGCAAAGGGCATATGTGGATCCCTGCCAGCTCCTGGAGGTTCCGAGCACTATTTTTGGCACCACTCGGTTTCCCACCCCATCCTGCCAGCTGATCTGGTGGGCGGGATTGCCTTCCGCCTTCCCCACCGCTGCATTGGCAGCTGACGCTGCCCTTCTGAGAGCCAACACGGCGATTGGACGG